CTGTTTCTTTACTATTATCTCTGGCTGCCCAATGAAGAGGGGTACATCCATATTTGCCTTTAGCATTGATATCTGCTCCATTTGAAATAAAAATTTCGGCTGTTTCTTTACTATTATATCTGGCTGCATAATGAAGAGGGGTACATCCATATTTGCCTTTAGCATTGATATCTGCTCCATTTGAAATAAAATATTCTAAAAGTGATGAAAGATGGAAATTCGGAGAATAAACAAAACATGCGTTGATGTCATTTGTTTGATCCAAGTAAACTAAAAATGATTGAAGATTATTGTATATAGAGCACAATTTTAAATCAATTTCTATGTTGTGTTCATTCATCAAAAATGTGACAAAATCGATATTGTGTGATATAATTGCATATTTCATGCATACATCATCTGGTTTTTGTACTTTCAAGCATTCATTCATAATGTCTTGATTTCCACTCAAAAACGAAAATCTAAGACAATCTGGAGTGATTTCTGATTGAAATTTCGTTATTAAAAACTTAAAACAATCAGCAGATCCATGATAACAACATAATTCAAGTAATGAAATACCTTCATATGAATATGGATATAATTTACTTTTTAATTTTTGATTTTTATCAAATTCTTCTCTTTCTGTAAAAAATATTAATGATATTTTGTCATCATCCATAATAGATCTGTAAATTGTATTTTGATCGTGAATATCAGATGAATAATGAGAATGTTCAAATTCGTTAAAACGTTTTTTCGCCTTTTCATTCAATACTATGTTGTATTCTTTGTAGAAAAGGTAATTAAAAACTTTGTTGATTTTGTTGACCTGATTTAGATGGTATTCGTCAACAATTTGTTTGGCAATCGCTAAATATGACTTCATGTAGCGGTTGTTATAAATTGAAAGTTTGGATATATCATTGATAATCACATCAGGCTGAATTTGATAAGAGTCAATCAGGTTTTGTTTGATTTTTTTGTATATTGCGTTTAATTTTTCTTCGTCATTTGTTTTCAGCCTGTACAAAGTATTGTAGACATCATTATATCCCGCAAAAATCTCCATCAATTTGTCATAATGAGTTTGGTTAGTTTCTCCCTTGGACATCAACCAAAAAATGAGATGTTAAAGACTTTTCAACCAAAAATTTTCCAATACTCCTCAAATTGATAATTTTCCACCAAAAATTTTTTAGGGGGTAGGTTTGATTCAAATGCTGTTCGGCATTAGAATTAAAAATAATCATTAGTATAATAATTACAGTTTTATTGCATTTTTAATAGGCTTCACGCCTGTATAACAAGCATGTCATGAAGCTTTTTGTCAGAATGAATTAAATAAAGTGTAATAATCTGTAGGGTGAATGGAAAACATGCAACAATTCTTTAGGTAAGAAATCAAATTTGATATAATATAAATTCGGGACTTAGTTGGCTAGGCTTGCCCGAAGGGCAAGCTTAGCCAACTTCGAAAAAATAAATATATTATGATTATAGGAAATAAGTTTATACAAATAAATTTAATTGTGAGTGATTAATATTATATTTTAAAGATTATTATGTAAAATAAAGATAGACTTTTAGCTAAATCGAAGTAATTTAGAGAACAATTTGAGATTTTAGAGATTTTTCAAAAGAAATATTGAAAGCAAAGTATTTATTAAGAATTTGTTGTGAAATGAATACACTTCGGTAAGACATTAGATCAGTATGATACTTGACAAAATTGGAGCTGAAGTTTGGTTCATAAATGAAGAATAGGTCTAAACTATAACAAAAGATTGTAATATATTTGAAAATTTAATAGTTTTATTTAGTAATTTGATATCTATGTGATCATAAATATTGATTTAAGTAATAAATTCGAAATTTTGTAATTTATATTGATATCTAAGAGCCCTAAAGTTAAATTCTAATTAAGCATGTGATGACAAAGAACTTGCTAGAGATTTTAAAAGATCTTTGACCTTGTCCATGAATTTCCAGTCTTAGCTGAAAAGTATTTTTATGCTTAATTTTTGAATATTTAGAATGCACTTATGATAATAATCATTATTTTTTATAAAACAAAAATTTGATGATGTGATCGAATTGATAATTTATCTCATATCCTAAAATTTCATAAAAAGTACATCATCATAAATTTCAATGTGTTTTCCATCTATGACCTTCAAAAAAAGTGTTGAAAATAGTTATTTAGGTAGTTATATTGATTCTTTTTTAGAAGGTACTAAAAAAGTGCCGGAAATTCATGGAAACCGAGGGGTCAATATATCTTTATTGTGATTGCAAAAAAGTTTTAACAATAATAAAAGGTACTAAGCAGTGATTTAAAATAACTTCTCCCCGATATAAAAACTAGAATGTCAAAAAATTGAGAGAATGTCAGAAAGTGGTAAGTGCACCCTTAAATTAATCGGGGGTATTATCATTTCCATCTGGAAAAAGTGACAAAATTTACACTTTTCCGACGTTTTGTCAGGGGCGTGAAGCGACCCAAAAATATCGGAAAAGTGTAATTCTCAGATATATGATTATTTTTGCTTTTAATACCGAACAACATTTGAATCAAAAATAATCGTATGTCTGAGAATTATCATTTTCGTCTGGCATCTGAATTATTGAACAATATTATAACTGTATATCTCCAATAAGTTAATAGTCTGAGTATTGTGAAGTTCAATGAATGATATATTTTCAATCAAAGAGAGTTGATAATTAATTCATTAGTAATACAACTATAAGTTTAACCTATAAGCTTCCAAATGTAAAACTTGTTTCAAACTTTTACAGTTTAAGACTCTTTGAGCAAAATTGGAGCATATATTAGTCCGAAAAATAATTGATTTAAATATAGGAATTAAAATTTCTGCATAGTTATGACTATTGAACTCATATTTTGGAATGCAATCGAATAAATGTTCCGAAAAAACATTCTAGCAACATTATAATTTATTTGATTTTTTTAAACTTTAGAATGATGGATTATTTTTGAAGGATATCGTATTGATTGCAATTGTAATATCAATTTTACGTAAAAATTTAAAACAACTTGGGACAATAGAAGAACGTTTTATTAAGGGTCCACTGTAAGGCCAAATAAGGCCCATCGTCGTCCCAAAAATATTGCTCAAGATGGTGTTTTTACTAAGGCCCAAAACTTAAAAAAACACAAAAAAATTAACTTTACTCTTTTGAGATCCTTATCAGATGTGCAACAATTTGATGCAGTATCGCAATTCGAATCCGATTTTTTAATGTAGATGTACTCTAACATTCTTGAAAAAATGCAAAATGATATTAATCAAGCTTTTCATTTCCGTATCATACACGAAACAAAATCATTCATTATACTAAAATTTATCAAAGTTTGAATAATGAAAAAAATAATATCTAAATTTTTACATTGAGTCGGCTATTGATATGGTCAATATTAAATCGTTTAAAAATGGGCATTGGCCAGAATAATACCCACTAAAATACACATTTTTTAAAATTTTATCAATTTGTTTTGGTATATCTTTATGATAATGAACAAAATGCTTATCTTTCATAAGTCTATACATAATTTATGCTGAAACACAAAAAATAACACGAAAATTTTTGGCCAACATTTCAAAACGAAGGATAATGCTTTGAATATATAAACAATAATACTTTGTCTAGAGAATTAAATTTGTGCTATCCAATTGTCAATTCTTTGAATTTTTTATAAAATGCACGATATTCCGGCATTAGCCTCAATAAATATAAACTACATGCATCACAATATTAGGATGTAATGGCATTAAAGCGAATTTCCTAATTTCTTCTCAATTAAATTCCTAGAAAAACTTAGGAATTAATGATTGGAAATAGGTCAGAAAAATTCCTAATATAAAATTTATACTTAAATTAAAATCAAAATTCGAAAATATCTATTTTTCAAAACACGCATCCAGAAGCGAAAAAATTCGAAAAAATCATGTTCTTATAAAACTCGCTGATTTTGCAATTTTTATGTGATTTAAAGTGATAGAATGTATTATCATCTTACTAAAACATATACTTTATTGTTACATTCACAAAATATTAATCAGAACACTAGGAAAAGTGGATTTTCGACAAAAGACGATAACGATTATTTGCAAATCGCCTCTCAATTTTGAGAGACTTTCAATTTTTACAGTGGACCCTTAAAATTGAATGATAACCGATTAATCTATTAAAAATTGAGAAATGCCGAACAATTGACAATAAGTAATGTATTAAACAAAAACAATCATTTAAATAATTAAGAGTACAATAAATCATAAATTTTGTGAAATGAATGATCATAAACAATACCATTAGCTTAGTCAGAAAATAAAAATTTAAAACAACAATGTTTTCACCATGAATTGAAGATATTTTTCTTAAGGGTGCTTTAGTTTACAACTATTCAATTATGTGCATTTAAATGTACTTTTTCTCTTGATAGAATTGATATTTATATGAATAAACATAAATGTAGAATACATTCACCATACTCTATCTTTTCACCTTCTCAAAATCTAAAAAATATCTCGGGAAGAAGACTCACGTGGTAAATAACGTACATTTTTGTAAAGAACGCTAGTGATCCCTTAACCGTTCGATATTGAATTAATTTTATAAGATTTTTCATCATATATGATATACTGATGTTTTTACAACAATTAATTTTGAAACTATATTACCAACGGCCTTTCAAATTCAATTTTAATGCTGAGAGAGTAATCAAAATTTGTGTTAATACAATTTTGCATTTTGTTTACTATTTTCTTTTTTTTATAAAAAACTAATTAATACAAGTCATCTCTTATATTATTGCTCTTAATTTTATTCATAGTTCATCATTGATTAGTTGTAAAGTATTGAATTTTAAATTCACAGCCGTTAGACTGGACATTAAAAACAATTTTATTTTAACTATCCTAAAAATATATTATTTCCAAATAATATAAATTTCTATTACCATTCAATTGGTTTGAGATTCAAATTTCATTTTTATTTAGATGCTTCCATTATTTGCATCTCATTCAGTTTCTGCAGATCCAACCTGCGATTTATATTTAGATTTTACTCCTTACCAAGCTAAATATGATACATTAAGGAGTGATGGCGAACATATCAATAAAAGCTTTTATACTATTTCCTCGAGCCAAAAGTTATGCATAAAGGGAGGATTTTTGATTGGATCCGACGAAAATTACAAGCTTCAAACGACATTTACAAGCGATAAACTTGATGATTCAAATAAAACTGATTGGATAAATAACCCATCAATTGTAATAGATGCATGCAACTCATACAGCGGAATGTACCAGTGCTATACACCATACACTGAAATTGTGTGCACTGATGCTTCTTGTAACATTGAAATCATGTGTATTCCTTATATTCCAACTCATTATGTATTTAAGGGTACTATTAATGGTAACGCTGGATATGATATGCAGGATTACTTTTGGGTAACAATAGCTACAAAGGACGAAGGCGAATTAGACTTATACAGACACGAACAATCTTTTTCATCAACACCCCCAGTTCTTAAATACAAAAATGCTAATCAAGTAGCATTAGTTACAACAGATTCCCTTATTGATGAAACAATAGAAAATGGAAAGGGAACAACAGTTTATACTTTTGAGGATAATAACACAAAGCAGTATAGAACATGGTGGGATTATAAAACAATGTCTGATTATAATTCACACTCCACTGTTAAATACTTTAAGAAGTCTGGTTCCATTAAGTATACTAGCAAGTTTGCTAAATTCATCATCACTGTCGGAAACTACCCAAAAGTTTATTCAAAGGATGATAAAGGTGTAGAAGTAACAACAATGAAATTACCTTTCCCAATTTGGGGTATTGTTTTAATTGTTGCAATCATTGTTATCATTCTCGGCATTATTGGCTGTATCCTTTGCTGCGTTTGCTGCACATGCTGCTGCTGCAATGCATGCTGTGCAAGTTGCTTCTCATGCTGCTGTGCTCCAAGTTCTGCAAGCCCAGAAGATGCAAAGGCTGCAGAAGTTTAAAAATAATTATATAAAAATATTATATAAATATCAAAATTAACATTTTTAATACTTTTCGAATAAAAGAAAAGAATTTAAAAAAATTGTTTGAGATCGAACAAAAATTTCTTATATTTATAGTACAGATAGAATATTTTACATCAGAAAATAATTAACAAATGAAAATTTCAATAAAAATAAAAAATTAATTGTCATCTGATTCATGAAAAACGAGAGAGTTCAAAAGAACGACGGATCCGTAATCAACGGCATGTGTATTATCTATCATATCCTGCAAAATTTCATATTCTTCTTTGAAGGAAAACTTTGAATCCATTTGCGATTGCTGCTTGAGCAATAGGTTGTAGAGAGTCCAAAATAGCAGTTACATCATTAGAATTCATATTAATTGCTAAGTCTCAGACTAATTTTACTAAATTTGTACAATTTTTTTGATCAAAAGTTAGTCTACATATCAAATATTATGATCCGTAAGGACAGACTATCACAATTTAATGAAATGTGACTCAAATTAATGAAAATAAAAATAATTTTCACTATTTTAACTTATTTTAAATGACATGCCACATAAACATTAGTAAGTTACTATAAATATAAGTGACATTTCATAATGATGATTTTGAATCGATCATAATGAAATTAAATATTGTATATAAACTAATAAGGACGATATATCTATTATATTTCGCCTTGTTTTGAAGAGTTATACTATTAGATAAACTAAAAATCAAAATATTTCATCGATTAACATCTTCAAAATGTAAACAAGAAACGAATTATAGCTTTTAGATGAACACATTGTTCCTCTCATTTGGGATTTTGATTGAATCATTTTGTGATTGAACTTTTCTCTTATCAATGATGGCCATAAAAAAATTCTCCAAAAAAATCTGATTTTGGATTCAATGAGATCCAGAAAATTAACAAGATTTTATTTCAAAATCAGATAAAACAATTCATATTGTTGAAAAGAACAAATCGAAAATTTAAGTATGACCACTGTTCGATTGAATTATCAAATTTGAATTTACGCCGATTATTGTTTTTCTCGCATTGAATTTTTTTTTATTTGATGGAGAACCGCGTCTACAAAGTAGGACAGGGCGATACTCTTGTTGGAGTTGCAGTCAAATTTGATACAACAGTATCAGAACTTATGAGGATAAACAGATTATGCAATGAAATTATTTGTCCCGGTGATATAATTGTTCTCAAGAAACCTGAAATAAAAAAGGAGTATCTTATTAACACAGAATCAGAGTTATTGAAATACGAAACATCAATTTTCGGTCAGCTTTGTGCAGATTACGAAAATTTAGCATTTTATCCAGATGCTTCTGATAATTTGATAAATATCAAGTTTTCATCAATCATATCAACATCAATGATCCCACATCCATCTGCTGTTTTCGTTGGACCAAATTATGAGGAAACAACTCCAGATTCTCCATTTATTATTTGCATTAACTACAACGAAGTTAATGACCAGGTTATTTTAATGTTCAAAGCACCAAAAGACAAGCTCCAAGAAGTTACAGCTTTAATCACAAAATATCAACAGGCAGCAAACGATTTTGGCCGTCGTAGTATCAGTATGCCGAACTTAACAACCCTTGCTGCCCACGAAAAACCACTTTTACCTATTAACATTACCGCGCAAAATCCAATTTTAACAGAAAATTTAATAAACCTCATAAGAAGGGAGCTTCCAAAGCGCTACAGGAACAACGACTGGAAGGCCCTATACCAAATGACAGTCGACGGCTGCTCATACAATACATTTTTCGAAAAAACCGAACGATATGAACCAGTTTTACTAGCTTTAAAGACTAATACGAATGAAATTGTGGGAGCATTCGCATCCCGCGGTTTAAAGAAGTCAAAGAACTACTACGGTTCCGGAGAATCTTTTGTTTTCAAATTTGTTGAAGGAGATCTCATTGCGTTCCATTGGTCAAAGAAGAACGAATACTTCATTACAAGTACAAAGAATGAAATAGTTATTGGCGGCGGAGGCTCATCTGCAATTTGGATCGACGGAGAACTCGACCACGCAATGAGTGAGCCTTGTGAGACATTTATGTCTCCTCAGCTAACATCTGTTCATTCTTTTAGATTGTATAATCTTGAAGCTTGGAGTTTTTCTGAACATAAGTTTGACTGATTCTATTATTTATGCGTTTTATTTTTCAATTTTCATTTGTTTGTTTTAAATGTTATTATTTTAATAACAAATATCTATATTACTTTATTTTTTGTGGAAGTTTTCCTACTAGTGCAAATGAATTCATAATTTCATTTTTAACTATAACGCAATCTAATTCTCTTACTGCATAGAAACTATATTCAAAACCATAGCCAAATGATAGTTTCTGAAGTGATAAATATATTCTCCGTTTGCGTTCAATATTTCTATCAGGACTCTCTATTTTTACTCGATCACAGTTCCTCAAGGGTGTCGAAAAAATTTAAGGTTAAGAGTTTCCATACCTTTTTATATTCTGTCTTTTCATAACATGAAATATCTAATAAAATGAATCTTTATGTGCAATTAGTGCTAATATTGACCATTCAATGAAATTCAAAATCAAAGAACTTTTATAATATTATTTTCCAATTCCAATATAAATAAGGACAACTTTTTTTGTAATATCTGAAGTAAAGCATTGGACATGAATTAATATCTTCTTTTTATTTTCATTATTGATCATATAAATTTTTCAAACATTGCATGATGTAAAGACAGGTATTTTTTTTAATTTAAACATGAGATCACTTTAAAAATAAGGAGTTTTAAACTGTATAAGAGATGGCACTAAGAATGCATGAATAATTCGTTATATCTTTATTAATTCACCTTTGAAGTCAAAAACATTAATCAGAAAATAGTCATCATCATATGCATTCTTTCCAGTTTGAGTTATTTTGAAAGCAACAAAATAATAATTAGTTTGAAGAGGAAATTCCTTGATTTCTTTCTTTGAAAAATTATAATAATTATTTTCTAATACAACTGATGTTCCATCTTCTTTGATTCCTTCTAGTTTCCAATTTCTCAACAAATTAGAAGTATAGTATGTAGATCGTATAAAATATGAATTTGGTTTTAATTGATATCCTTTTAGTTCAGCTTTTAACCATGAATTAGGTACATTATTTGTAAAAAAATCATTATTATCATCTGAATAAGAATTTATATCAAAAAAACTTCGATCATTAACAGATGAAGCTGTCATTTCCATTTGAATTTCTTTAGAAACTTTTTCTACAATTTTTCTTTCTACAATTATTGGTGCATACTCAAAACTTATAGATTGATCTGATACTTTCAGTTTATTTTGAGTTAAATGTTTTTCGAAAGATATGAGAGATTTATTGGATATTTCAATATGATCTCTTATATTTGAATGATAATTCTTCAATGTTTCATTATAAATAGTTAATAAGTTGGATTCAAACGAGTTTTCAACTGAAAAATTATAAATTTCATCAAAAAATTTGGATGAACAAAATTGTAATTTGACATATCCAAATAAATCAAATAATGATCTATTCATCTTGCATATTTCTAAAAGGATGAAACTGAGTTTGTCTTCATTTTCAATTTTGAGTTGTTTTGATGTCAATATTTTTTCACAAAATTCAAATCCATTCTTGACAAAATTTCTAATGATTTCTTCTTCATTCAAACAATAAAAGTGTGAAGAAATGTACTCAATGCATTCGTTCATTGCCGTGGAATCATTTTCGAAAGCAAAAATTTCGTACTTTTTAAAAACGTTTTCGTTCGTAAGAGATTCGTCTGATTTAACATGTTCACAATATATTTGTGTTAGAAGTTGATTTCCAAAATATTTGCCAATTTCAAATATGTCATGAAGATGAGACTCGTCTCCAGAAAACTCAAGTTTGCCTGTTTCAATAAAGTTTAAAACGATATCAATTGAATCTTGACATATGATATCGAGATGTGTTTCCATCGATGTTATTGATTTATCAATGAAATACTTTTCTTTGATTAAATCTGAAAAACAAATAGCGGAAGACTTCTTTGTTTTGATGATTCGATCATTAATTTTCATATGAAAAGCACCACATTCAGTAATAACATTTGCACGCTTTAATTCATTGCAAAATTTAGTAATTTGCACCATAAAAAAGATAAATGGCACTTTTCTATTGAATTTTGCCAAAAAATAATGACTGAATTTTTTTTTTCATTGTTAGATGGTATACAAACATAATGAACCTTTAGATGGTATACTTTAATGGAAATGTAATCAAAGGACGACAATTTCGGAAAATTGAAAAATTATTGCTTGATCAGCGATTACATTCTTTGAATAAATCAATTTAGACGCCATTCACAGGAGATAATTCAAGAGTAAGAATTGCAAATATAATTTGATAACATGAGAGTTTCAAAATTTTTTTTTTCTGTTAGGTGCCGTTTTGTAAAAATGAATGATAATGTACCTTACAATTACCAGCCTAATCCAATCAATCAAGCTGATGTAGTTGGGTACGATTTACAAGGAAATCGAAGAATTCGCGTTCGTGTGCCAAAACGCCAAAGAAATATTTTTGATCAATCTCTATCAACGACAGCTGATGCAAAAATCCCAACTAGAATCATAGAAACAGATACGTCCATCGCAATAGAAGTTCCTAAATATCACCCACCTCAAAAAGAACGTGAAATTCCACAACCTTCACAATCTCAACCTTATTCATACACTACTCAATCCCAAAACACCACTACAGAAACAAAAAACAATATCACACCAGAGGGCTCATACGTTAACAGTTATTCTACATTTTCAACAGATGTAACTTTAATCACGAACACAGTTCCACCAGAGCAATCTACAGGAACATACTCGACAATGATGGAAAGACCAAATGGTCCTACACGTGTCAGAGTCAAAGTAAGGAAGAATAAAGACGGATCTAGGACAGTTATTGGTCCTGCACCTCAGAGAGAGCCAAATTCAGCATTTAACAGCTTAGATCCACAATACAGAGATAGAGAATTACCACCACGTGCTCAAAATGACAGAATTGTTGAAGAAATCAACGGAGAAAAATTAAAAGCCATAGATTCACAAGAAGTTAAAACATTAGACCTTAAAGTTAATCATGCAGTTCCATATCAGCATGTTGGAGTATTTAATGCCGTTTCTGGCAAGAAAATTACGAATCCTGGACCAATTCCAGAAAATTATCGCGCAGATATACCTTACAACTCAAGATTTATTGGAAATAATGATACTACAACCATGGATTCCAATACAACTCTCGAATCTCAAACAATTGAAACTCAGGAATCTACAAATCTTTCTGTAGTGTCAAGAGACCTACCAACGTACTGGCAATCCGAGAAAGATATAGATGAAGACTTTATTAAGCTCGAAATCGGTCATGGAACTTATGAATATCTTAATGATGAAATGATTCGCGGAATCAATGAAGAAAAAGAGCTGCAAAGGATCCAGGATGAAGAGAATGAAAAGATGAGACTCAGAGAACTGGAAATTGAAAAACGGGAAATCGCAAAAAGACAACAAGATTGGGAACAGCAAGAAATTAACGAAAGAGAAGGAACTCCATGGATGGATCTATTCAATAATAAGAAATGGATGTTTATACCAAGAAACAGAAGAATGCATCAAGTTCCAATCACTAATGTCGAAGATGACGTAATTAATACAGATGTTTCTTACGATTCTGGCAATTTGACTGCATACGGTATTTATATGCCAGATAATACTCCTTCCTGTCAAATACCAGTTAATAATGAACCAAAAGAAGAAAATATTAAACCTCAAGAAGTTTTGAAGCCATTATACGGTGAAATATCATCAAATGAATACTCAACAACTCAAACTAGTAGTACACGCTCTGAATATCTTGACTTATCTAACTTAAATAAGGTTAGCCAGATAATTCCACTGAAAAAACAATCAGAATCAGTTAGAAAACCATCAGAAGCACAACCCCAGCCGCAACCACAGCCACAACCACAACAAAAGCAATCAACAGAATCATTCAGAAGTAGAAATCAGCAACCTCTTGAAACAGTCACTACAACTAGTGACGAAGAGGAAGAAAAAGTTGTTGTAATTGAAGAGGAAGAGGAGGAAGAAGATTTCCCTGAAGAAGAAGGTGAAGAGGAAGAAAAAATTATTATTATAGAAGAGGAAGAAGAGGCGAATGAATAATCATAATATACATACTTTTGTTTTTTATTTTATTTATAGTTTTTGTTATTTTTAAATTAATATTTGGATAATTTTCTTGTTTTTTACTTGTTTCAAAAAAAAAGGTAGTGGGGCTTCCAGGCGCGTTGCGCCCTCTAGCCCTGAAGATGTTTAGTATAAATGAAGTTTTTATTCGGAGGGCTTCCAGGCGCGTTGCGCCCTCTAGCCCCGAAGATGTTTAGTATAAATGAAGTTTTTATTCGGAAAATTGTTAGTCTTCTGGGTCGAAAACATTATATAATGTGTCACTTTTCACAAATTATATATGTTTTCATGTTTTGTCACTTTTCTATCACTTTTCGGGTAAAAACATTTTTATTATTATATATAAATGAATTTTACAAAACCGCCGTTACCGTTCTTTGGAAATAAGAGTAGATGCAAAGATATTATATTGAGACAACTTAAGAAACTACCGAATGGTCTAACATTTGTAGATTTGTTCGGTGGAAGTTTCTATATATCCCATTTATGTCATACAATATTCCCAGACTCAAAGATTATATGCAATGACTTCGACAACTATATGGACCGTCTCAAACATATTCCAGACACAAACAATATATTGAAAGAGTTAAAAGAAAAGATACCTATAGGTAAGATGGAACGTATACCATTAGATAAGAAAAATATTGTGAGAGAGGTTTTGAAAAAAGCAGAATATATAGACTGGGATAGTATATCTGCTAGACTATTATATAGTGGTTCTATAAGAGTTCATGACATTGAAACACTTATGTCAAAAGTTTTATATCTTAACTATACAAATGTTTTCAAAGAGAACATAGAAAAATATATTGAGGGTATAGAGTTTGTGAGATGTCATTGGACAGAGTTGTATGAAAAATATAAAGACAAGGAAAATGTTTTCTTTATAGTGGACCCGCCGTTCTATAACACATGGGATTTTCAATACCAAGTAGACTGGACTTTGAGAGACTCTTTAGAAACTTTAGACGTTATACATAACCATCCATGCTTTTACTTTACATCCGATAAAAGTGGTTTGGAAACCGTTATGAGATGGTTAGAGGACATACATGACTATGAGTTTAGATATGACAAGATAGAATATGAGAGAGGTCCTATAAACTGGAGAAAGTGTCACAATAAAGAAATTTTATTAGTAAGTAAATGTGGTTTGAAATCAGATTGTTAGTTTTAGGTTTTTTCCATTGTGTCATTTATTTATTTGACGTGGCATAAAAGTACAGAGAATATGAAGATGAACCAATGCCTGCAAATGTTCAGTATATGTACTCGTAAGAGATATTTTTATCTAATATTAAATGGACGCACAGAACTTAGCGAATGCACAGCAACCTGGACAACCAAACCCAGAGAATATTCCAAATGAAGTTAGAATACAAACTGCAATGGCAAACTATGGTCAAGTGCCAACAGATGTACAAATGCAAACTGCCATGTCAAATGACGCTGCGTTAGGTTTGCCACCATGGTATGCAAATATGAGATGGAAAGAGTTTTATACAAACCCTGAAGTGGGATATAAACAACTTTATGCAGATGACGCGAACACAGAAGTTGACCCAGAATATGTTTTCTACCAGAGGAGAAACAGAATGTATGAGCTCCAGTTAAAGAATGCTATAGAACTCAACAGGAAACGTAAGAGACTAGGCGGACATTAGATTTTTACACGTAGTAAATGGGTTTCTTCAGTAAGATAGGAAACTTCTTCAGAAGAGTTGGAAGAGGTATATGGAATGGCGTCAAAACCGTAGGAAGAGGAGTATGGAACGGTGTCAAAAATATTGGTAAAAGAGTAGGTCAGTTCGTTGGTATTATACCTAAAGACCCTGAACCAGAAGAGCAAGCTCCTGTTATACAACAGCCTGAACCTGCACCACAGTCAAGTTGGCAACCAAATCCAACCCCTCAACCGTATTAAAAAATTATATTTTTACTGTTCGATAGTAGTTGTATATGAAACTAAGTTCTAAGTAAAACGCATGGTATAATGGAATTATTCTTTTTCTTCCATCTGTAGTAAACCATACTTGAAAGTCTGAAATACTTCCACTTGGTGGTTCGTATAACTTTGTAGGTTTTTCGTAAAAGTCATTTGCCAAGCATAAGAAAGAGTTTTGGGCGCCAGAAAATGAAGCATGAACAATAATAGCATCTGGGTCGAAAATATTTTCATATGTTCCATTAGGGTTTTCGACTTCATAATAGTCCGGGTGTACTGGATATGCTGCAGGCTGATTTAACATCCTCATAAATCTATACCATGCCAAGTTGTTATATTTTGTAGAAATATAAACGTTTTCTCCAAGGTCTTCTATTTTATTGATTTTAACAGTTGCATTTTTCCTGTCATAAATAATATCGAGATGGTATTCTCCTTCGTCAATGTTAAACTGGTTTGCATATTCAATATAGATATCGTTTATTTTTTCTTGAAAAGCTTGAAGAGTTGTTTCTAAGTTTTATAAGCAAACTAACTTGTAAAAGTTTTCCCTGTTCAAATTTCTCATACATACGTTTTTCTTTGTTATAGTATCGAACTTCAAAACCGACCGTAAATGGGAAACCATGTATGGCTTCTGAAATGAACTTCATTCTACGAAAGCCAATAGCTTTTGTGACGGATGGGTCTCTTAACCATCTTAATGGGTAGTCAAAACGATAGCCTTCATGCTTTATAGTATCTAAGTCAAACTTTTGACCGACATTAGTAAAAAGTTCATCTAATGGTTTAGTTGTAGCAACTCTTGAATTTTCTTTTTCTATTGGAAGCATATTTTATCTATAATAAAAATGTCAAATGAAACAGCGTCTATGAGAGAAATACAACACAACCGACAACTCATTATGCAAGCTCTAAATAAGAACACAACAAACTTTTCAAACTATTCTAAGATATCTGAGTCATTGAAAGGGGGTGACTTAAAACTGACAATAAACCCAATGACAGATGAGTTTCTGTTTCAAGACAATAAGAACCATACTGTCTGTATAAATCCAACAAAAGGAACTTTAAACGAGAAACCTATAAATGAACTTCTTTTGAAAGCAGATGTTGACAACAAAGCTGACAAAGAATATGTCATTGAAAAAGTTCAAGAAGAACATGACAGAGCAGATGCAACATATGCAACAAAAGAGGATGTTGAAAATAAAGCTGACAAAGAAACTGTAGATATGTTGGCACAAACGGTTTCAAGTCATACCAGAGGTTTAATGGAAGATAGTGTCCATTTGCAAAGACTTGACATAGATGTTTCAAATAAAGCCGACAAAAATCATACACATAACATCTCTGACGTAAATGAACTTCAAGAAAAGTTAGATGACAAAGCTGACAAAGAAACTGTAGATATAGGGTGTCCAAAGGTGCGTTTAGCACAGCGCTCTATATGAGACTATTAAAGGAGATATATGCTGATTATAAATATATAATAAAAAATATGAATATATGTATATGATGAGTATGTTGTATTTTGGCGCCATGCCGGGATATAAAATGAATTTTGAGACAAGAGGCGGTTTCGCGGGAAATTTTGGCGGGATTTTTTTCATTTTTTTAATGAATCATAAAGAAAACATCCTCGCTCTTGCAAAAAAATGCAAAGACTGTAAAAAAATCTACGAGACATTGGTAAAATGCTTCGGTATGGATGCTCCTAGCTATTCCACTGTAACGTATCATGTTAGGATGTATCACTTCATGAACAAAAAGGCGCCCATCATAAAAATTGACAAAAAATCGCCGGATCAAAGAAAAATCAAAGCAATTCTTCAAGCGCTAGATGAAGACCCAAGAGCATCACTCAGAAGGATAGAGGAGATGACAAAGATACCACGTACAACAGTCAGTTATTATCTGCACAATTATTTGAACTACAAACTAGCGTATACACGTTGGGTTCCGCACAACCTTAATTCAGTTCAAAAAAAAATCTAGAGTCCAATCTTCGAAAGAGCTCCTCTCTATATTGGGTGCGTATCAATCCAAGAAGTTTCGCTTTTTAGTAACAGGGGACGAGTCTTGGTTTCAATATGCAACAGAAGCCAAAATCATGTGGATCCCGAAGGATGAAAATCCGCAAACATTCCCGAAGAAAAAAATTGGCACACCAATGATGATGTTGTCGGTTTTTTGGGGCGTGAATGACATCATCGCAATTGATATTCTTCAAAAACCTAATACGATGAATGCTCAGTATCTAATTGACAATGTTCTTACTCAAATTATCAATTCTGATGAGTTTGAGAAATCCAAACAACAAAAACAAAAGTTTGCAATTCATTTTGATAATTCAAGAGTTCACAAAAGTCATAAGGTAATGAATTACTTGGTGGAAAACAATGTCAAAGTTGTTCCAAACCCAATTTATTCACCTGATATTGCACCCTCTGACTTTTATTTATTCGGCACGCTAAAAAAGAGAGCTGAAGGACGCGAATTCGCGAGTCCAGATGATCTTGAAAATTTTGTAAGAGAGCAATTTGAGCAATTTTCTCATGATGATTTAAAGCGTGTCTTTCAAGCCTGGATCGATCGCTGCGAACGCGTGATTGAATCCAATGGTGATTATATTTAAATAAACTTTATATATATGTAACTTGTTTATTTCTATTCGCAGTATTCAGGTTTGTGCTAAACACACCTTTGGACACCCTATATGTTGGCACAAACGGTTTCAAGTCATGACAGAGCTTTAATGGAAGATGGACAACAGTTGAAAGAGCTTGAGAAAGGTGTTACAGAGTTAAGGAATACAAAAGCAGACTCGACATGGATAGCTGGATATGTAGATGCAACAAAAGAATATATTTTCGCATGGACAGAAGGAACATATCCACAAAAACATCATACACATAACATCTATGACGTAAATGAACTTCAAGAAAAGTTAGATGACATTATGCATCTAAGACAGGAACTCAATGTGCTTAAACAAATTTTGCCGAATCTTATTTACCCGGTTGGCTCATTATATGTTTCAATGAACTCTACCAGACCAGAAGTAGTACTTGGTTTTGGAACTTGGACTCAAATAGTCGACAGGTTTTTGTATTGTGCAAACTCTTCAAAGGAAACAGGTGGAAGTAAAACGATTTCAGGTGAAAATTTACCTGCACACAGTACTACATAGATTTAAGTACATCTCAAGCAGGTTGGCATAAGCATAGATATTGGGATTGGTCAGGAATGACAAAAGGTAAAGGATATGATGTTAAAGACGACGTTAAGTTTGCTATAAATTGTTACTGGAGTGACACTCAGGGAGAAGGAAACCATACACATTTCGTTTCAGGATATACGCAAACAACGGGACAAAGTAAAGAATACATGCCACCTTACATGACAGTTTACGCATGGTATAGAATTGCTTAGTCGTCATTTTCAACTTCTTTAGCATATTCGTCAGGAGTTGTCTTATATTTGTTAGGAACTGTCTTTGAAAGTATACCACCTTGAACTTTGACAAGTTTGAAACGAGGTCTGACAATAGTAGTTTTATCTTCTGCTTGCAGTGTGTACATTTTGCCATGTTTGCCTAAAACTTCATAATATTCTCTTGTATACTTTCTTCTATTTTTACGAACACGAATGTGAGTACCTGTCGGGTTCCCATTGTTGTCATAGTCAATAGTATTTTCATATGGGTCGCGCTTAGGTATTTCTATTTTTACTTTGTCACCTTTCTGAAGTTTGAAGCCCGGCATTCTTTCTTGTTTGTCTCTTTTGACTAAATTATTAAATATATAGTCTTTCTCTAAGTCAGGGTTGTTTTTCATTTCTTCGGGGGAGTGGTTTCCCAAACCTTTTTGTTTACGGTTATTGTAAATATTTAAAACTTGTCTCATCTTTGCCATGGAGAAGTGTCTATACTTGTCGTCATATGACATTTCATTTGCTTCACCACCTTGTGGTTGGTTTAAGTCTCTTAACATTTTTATACAACCGTCAATGACACCAAGAGCAGAATGGTTTTGGTCGACAATGAAATATTGGTTTACATTTTTTGAACGCAGATAGTTTTTTACATCATCTGATTTGAAAGAACTTTCACAGTCAGATGTCAGTTTTGTTGGATGGTATTTGTCAACGAATATTGTCAAAGCTGCTAAGATATCTAAAATTGCTTTGGACTGTAATGGTATGGCTTCACAGTATCTTGTGTTTTGACCAACAAATATTAACCAGTATGGTGGTCCATCTGTTCTAACTCTCGGAATGTTTTCCAAGATATCCATAAACCAAGCATTTGGTGTTGAACTAAAGATTTTTATCATGAGTGCTTTCTTTGTCGCTTTAGAAACATAGGGGTCCTTGTTCGGATTCGTCATTTTTTACCCTATAAGAAATGGGTTTATTTGGCGCATTAGCAGGAGTCGCATCTAGATTTTTACCCGCAGTGGGAACAATAGCCAGAGGTGCATTTGGAATTGGAAGGAAGATTTTGAGTACATTAGGTATACTGAAAGAGAAAGCACAACCTATTATACAAACTGTACAGAAAGGTTGGGATGTAGCACGAGATGCAACAAATCTTATTCCAAATCCTGAAACAAGAGGAAAAGTTCAAGGATGGATGGACAATGTAGGAAGACAAGCAGGAAACTATTATAACAAAGCAAATGACTACTATAACCAAGCAGGACACTATATGGACCAAGGTGAAAGATTCTTTAACAGAGGATATAACCATACACAGCAGTGGGTAAACAATAACCAACCTCAACCGCCTCAAACGTGGGGAATGTAAAGTTTTTTACTGAGATGAAATGAACAATGCAGCTTTGAGACAAATGAGTTCAAGATGGATTTGTCGGCTTCCAGCATTTACACCACGTGTTTGTAAAGTTCTTCCTATACCTCAGGAAGTTTTAGACCGACTTAAAAAACCTAAACAACCAGTTGAAAACAAACCAAACTAAATTTTTTTACTGAGATGAAATGAACAATGCAGCTTTAAACAGAATAAGTCATGGAAGACCACCTTTTACACCACGTGTTTGTAAAGTTCTTCCTATACCTCAGGAAGTTTTAGACCGACTTAAAAAACCTAAACAACCAGTTGAAAACAAACCAAACTAAAATTTTTTACTGAGATGAAATGACCGAAGAAGTTGAAACGGTAGATTTGACACCACAAACAAAAAGTTCAGAACCATTGTCAAAACCTGTCAAAGAACTTACAGATGAAGAGAAAAATTCAATAATAGAAAGTGCCAGGTCTGGAAATACAACCCCCAACTATAAAGTCACTTTTCATAGAAATGGAACGGCTAGTATCTCAAAAAAGAAACAGACTCTCACAAATAAAATATTGAAGTCTGAAGGAGCTTTCGAGACAACAGATGGAAAAGTTTACTTCACTGACCAACAGTTCATTATAGAACATCTCATTGACTTAGAGTCGAAATATTCTAAACTTTACAACAAACACAAAAAGTTGAAAGGAAAACAAAAACAAATGGCATATGATATTTATGAAGATGTTGACGACACAACTGTTCCTGCAAGTAAAGTAAAGTCAGAGGAACCGAAAAGTGACGAAAAGCCGATAGAAGAAGAAAAACCAAAAACTGAAGATAAACCAAAACCAAAGTTTAGTTTCCAAACTAAACCAAGTCAACCTTCATTAGCTGGTATGGGTTGGCGTCAAAGACTTATGGCAGCAGGCGGTTATGTAAAGTAAAGAAAAAATATTTTTTTATTTTTATAAAAATGCCCCCATATAGAATGGATAGAAAGTCTGCTAGAATAAAAGCAGAGTTACAAAGATATGGTTGGAGAGTTTCGAAGAATTTTAAATATAGGAAGGGAAGACCCATAAAAGTCTATGACAAATTGTCTGGTCTTCGCTACGAAATGGATTTGGAAACAGCACGTGCAAATTATCCAAACAGACTAGAGAGGTTAGAAGAAGAACGTCTTATGGACATGCCTTTCGATGTTAGTGAACCTCAAGTTGAAGGACACGACGGCTTTGCCAGATTCTACTGGAAACATGACGAACAATTGCATCCTTTGAGAAGGAAAAAAGGAAAAGGTGAAGACGCACATGCTCCCATGGAAAGAACAAGATATGCATATGAAAAGTATCGTGAAGTTAGAAGTCAAATTACATCTGGTCGAACCTTTACAGTAAACTTTGACGAAGGAAAGAACAAAGAAGGCTTCATGGGAGTACTTGCTGCAATTCAAGACGGAAATAAGAAAGGACACAATCTCAGATTGACCATAACAGATTTGGATGGTCACATTTACTATGCACATGGCAATGTCACAACAGCTGCAATGGTTCTTGACGCTTTCAAGACTACAAAGAGAGAACAAATGGTTGACTCCGACTCAGACATTTTGAATGCAATTGAAGGAATTGCAAGTGTCAAGTTCGAATGGTACCAACCTAACCCTCAAGCAGTCAGACAACATGCTGGATACTTCCCTTCATAAATAAGTCTGACATTGACTTGACAAGGTATGGAATTTACAATTCAATTGAAACAATTGTCAATGAACCTTGCATTCTTACATGTCTCAGGAACTCTGATCTTGTTTCAGAAGAGAAGATGAAGTATCTTGAGTCATGTGTGAAGACAAGGTACATTCTCAGAGGTCAATTGGCAAAAATTGCACCGTTGGCAAATGTCAATATCCGAGTCAACATACCTACAGCTAAAGGTTCTTCACATGACGACTATGTTGTTGACAAAGACTTACCATGGTTGAAGATTGTAATTGTCCACAACCACTTCATGTTGAACGAAAGTCTTACAAACCCATTCTTTGGTAAAAGTAAGTGCAACATTGTCAGAGCTGTAAACATTCTTTTCGAGAAAGGTTTGTTGGAACCAATTCCAGATGACAAGCTGACAGAAACTTTTGTACCAAAAGACGAAACAAACTTTTCATTGTTAGCAAGACCAAAAGTTGTTCCAGACAAAGTTCTAGTACAAAAGAAGTACACAGTTCCACAAGGGTTGGTATGTTCGGATACCAACCTGAACCAGAAGAACTTCCAATGAGGTTGCAAGAACTTCAAGATGCTATAAACAAACTTCCATTGAGACATCCAATTGACGTCAAATTGTATTGGAGAGCATCTGAGTTAGGTCAGAAGGTTTTATATGAAACAGGTTGCTTCGACGATGTTTATGAGATAACAGGAGAAGTTTCTCAGAAGATAAGAGACTCACTTGAATTTCCACAAACTGGACCAATTGGTTGCGACAAGTTCGACTCAGATGAAAAGATATACTATGTCGACCTTAACGCTGCATACATGAGGTTTGTCCAATATATTCCGACTGGAATTCCAAACGAAGATGGTGAGTTCCCGGGAAGGAACTATACAGTTGGAAAAGTCATACAACAACTGTATGATATTAGGAAAGCTTCAAACCCCAAACTTGCAATGACACTCAAATTGCTTATGAATTCGACATGGGGATATTCCATTAAGAAACCTCAAGAGATGAAGAGTAAACATTATGAGAAGGTCGACAACTTTGTTGAAAGGTTTTCTCCTTTTGTTTTGAAGTACGAATTCACTCAAGGTCAAAGTGGCTTAGTAACCACATTAAAACCTATTGTCGAACATTGGTCTTACCCTCAGTTCGCAAAGGCAGTCCTTGACGAGTACAACAAATTCTTCTCCGAAGTCAAATCCAAAGTCAAGGTTTACTATGAGAACATTGACGCACTCATGACGAACGAAGAAGGATACAACAAACTCATTGAAATGGGAATGGTCGGTGAAAAGATGGGCTGTTTTAAGCTAGATAAGGTATTTTCCGAAGTTCATGTAATATCGAAAAGGAAATATTGGGGCATACTTGAAGACGGCACAGAAATAAAACATTGCATGAAATAAAAAATTTATTTTTTAAAAAGTGACATTTTTTAATTTTATTTGAAATGTACGCTGAGTTTGTTGGAGAAGACCGTTGGGAAACTTGTTTGTTAGATGAGAAATATGAAATGGCATACCATTTTAAAACAATATATTTTTACATATATTAAATGCTTCAGGTTGAAAAACAAAGAACAAAAGTAGCAGATACAAAACCGTTAGACTATATCTTTACAAATGCTGGTAGGACTATTTCAGATGAAGAAATTTCATCCCGAGCATACAGGTTTGACTATCCAATTCGTTGGCTTCAAAGTCCTTCAGATGCAAAGGCAATAGGATTTAGAAGAGTTTTGTTTTCAAATAGAACTAACGCATTTATGTTCGCAGTATATTTTCATGGGCAGTATAAAGGTTCTGATGGTCTAATAGACAAATTTGACGAAATGAGAATCTTTACAGTTCGTTCAGACGAAAGTCTTGAGAAAACTCTAGATGACTTTCAAACTCAAATGAACAAATATTATTGGGAATTTCAAAAAAATACGACTCTTTACTAAATGGAACATACTATCTGAAACTAGAATATGACAAGATGAACTCCACCGTTTCATTTCAAAAGATTGAAATTAACCCTCCAAGAGATACAGAGTTTTTATTTTGGGAAGTAGACAAACGTTCTTGGGCACAATTTCTTCGGTTACTAAACCAGAACGAACCATTACCACCAGATGGTCCATTTAAATTTATACTTCCACCAGCAGATTTGATGGTTTATAGAAACGTGTTTGACCCTCAAAATGTTATGTGTCATGCAAGTTTCAGTTCAAGCAACAATAGTTTTCTATGTATTGGTAAGGACCTTTATGACTTTGCTTCTAAATTCTACGAACCACCTAGTAACAGTTTCTCTGACTTTCAAGTTTGGTTCACAACAAATGGTGTGCAACATATTATTCCATTGTACTATGACTTTTATCTCGAATTGTCTTTCATATATAACTACGGAAAAGTGCTGAAAAAGTATTGAATGTGAAGATATTAGAAAATAACATTTTTTCTAACATCGTAGAAAACTCATGAAAACAATTTATTTTTGACACTTTCACAAAAAACATAAAAAAGTGAGTTAAAATGAGATGTTTACTGAACTGGTTGGATGTCGCCTTCACAGGTTATGTAGAATGGTTGACCAGAGAAGTGAAGGAGACCCTTGAGAATTTGGTTCATTCTTGGGAAAGGGTTCTCTCTGTTTGGAAGTAGTATCCAAGGACGCTTGGCAAAGAACTTTATAATGGCTTCCTTCTTTGCTTGCTTTATGTCGTCGTAGGCTGTCCCGTCTGGTATTTGAATTGGAATTCCAGTCGAAGTCTCGAGATTCAAGGCAGCCCTTCCCGTTATCCAACCGTTAACAAGCTTGCCTTTTACATTCTGCCTGAGGAAGTCTTTAACAAGCTCGTTAATTTCAATTAGGTAAATTGCCTCGTCGGTAGGTTCGACCTCGACCATTGCTACTGTCAGAAAAAGTACTGCTACTGTCAGTAAAAGTACTGCTAGGAGCAGAAAAACTACTGCTACTGTCAGTAAAAAGGAAAATTTGAGAGGGTTTTCGACGATAAAGTACTGCTACTGTCAGTAAAAGTACTGCTACTGTCAGAAAAAGTACTGCTACTGTCAGAAAAAGTACTGCTACTGTCAGAAAAAGTACTGCTACTGTCAGTAAAAGTACTGCTAGTAGCAGAGATTTTTATCGTTGTGGTCCGACGGTTAAGCCACAAACGAATGTCCGACGTACCACCAACCGAGTCCATTCCCAAACCAGAGGAACCTAAAGAACCACAACAGTCTCCTCAGCAACCTCAGTTCCAGCAAGTACCTCCGAATTACTACCAATTTCCACCTCAAGGTTACTACCCACCACAAGGCTTCCCGAACTACCCTCCTCAGCCTATGCCTTACTTCCCCAACCCTTGGTTGTTCCAGCAAGCTCCATCCCAACAATTCCAATTCCAATCTCAGTCCAAGAGAGACCAAGACTTCGAAGAAGGTCTGAACCGCTTACGCAAAGAGTATGCTACAGCTCCAATTGAGAGAAAGTTGTTCCCGGACCAAAAAATATAATTTAGGTGAAGAGGTGAGATTTCACCTGTTTTTTCACCTGTTTTTTTTCACCCTCTTGAATTTTCATGAATTTTATATATTAATGTTTTCGTTAAGCCACTTTGTGCAGTCAGTCAGTCAGTTTAGGAAAGACTTTAGAAAGTTGTTGGAAAATAAGTCCTGGGAAGAGTATTATAAGGCATTTTGTGAAGAATATAGCAACCGCCGGAATTCGGACTGTTGCTTTTTATACAAAATTCATGCAGGAAATTCTTGAGTTTTGGTTGAAAGAATACGGTGGAGCCAAAAGTGGCTCGACCTCAAAACAAGCATTTTATGAGCTTACTAAGGGCGTTATAAATGAATTCAAAGGTATTTACATACATCCTGACCTCGTTCATTTTGTTGCTGAATTCAGCAAAAATATAATTTAGGTGAAGAGGTGAGATTTCACCTCTTTTTTCACCCTCATGAATTTTCATGAATTTCCTTAAGATAGAAAAAATAAAGTTAGTTTTATTTTTATTTATTTTTTTATTTTGTATGTAAAATATGATTTCAACAATCGGCACAACAACAATTCAAACAACAGCACCAAACTCGTTAGTCATGAATCCAACATCTATGTTAGTAGAGATGAAAAGCTTCATTCCTTCTTCATTTACTTTCGAAACAGAAATACAAAGAATAAAGCAAGAACTTTTAACAAGTAATTTAGACTGTAGTGCGAAAGATGAAACAAATGAACAGTATCTTTATGAAATGGAGGACCTCATCGACCATTTGCCTAAACTACCTGAAATTCAGCAGCAAAAACTAACTATTCCTGAATTCGACGAAATTGAAGTCAAAGCAACTGACTCAGTAGAAATAAAGAAGTTCATACGAAAGGTAAACTATGAGTTTCTAGGATATCATTGCAACCATAAAGTTATGGACAAAGATTGCGACATGGTATATAAGAACATCTCTGACATATATAAATCTGGGGAGTTTAAGACATACGACAACTTTGTTTCATTAGCTGCAAAATGTGTATGGCAGATAAGAGATAAAGACAGAAGAGGTAAGGTATGGCATGAACAGATAAAACCAACTGCTTCAGATTTAAAGAAAACCATTGACGCCTTGGTTGTTTTAGCAGGTAAGGTTTCAGAATATAACGCAAAAATGAACCCGCAATGTTCTAAATGTAAAGCAGCAATGAGGAGATATAACTACTCCGTCAAAGAGATAGAAAGAATGAGAAACGACTATGCAGATTTAAAGAAAGAAGCAGAGAAGCCGGTAGAAGATAAAATGAACATGTTAGAATTTCTGAACAAAAACTATCCAACTGCTGACGATTTCCTTCTATCTGACGTCAAGAAGAAGTATAAAGAAACTTTCGGCATTGTTAAAACATTCGATGTACTAAAAGAAGAAATAGAAGCTACAAAACTGTTTAGGATTTCAAATATACATCGTACAATTCATGTAAAACGCTTATAAAATAACTGGGGTGAAAAATTAGGTGAAAAAAGAGGTGAAATCTCACCTCTTCACCTAAAATATATTTTTATTGAATTCAGCAACAAAATTCTGAGTAAAATAATTTTTAGGGCATGTGTCAAACCGTTGAGTTTTCACAAAATTTAAAAAATAACGTTTACCATGTGAAACGTTTATAAAATAACTGGGATAGAAATGAGGGTAGATATCGGGTTAGATCTAACCATCTACCCTAAACATTATTTTTATTGAATTCAGCACAAAAATCATGAATTTCCTTAAGATAGAAAAAATAAAGTTAGTTTTATTTTTATTTATTTTTTTATTTTGTATGTAAAGACAGTAATGTCAACATCAGAGAACACAACAACAGTTATAGTCCATGAAGCTATAAATGAAGAATACGAGTACATACAGTTTAACAAACAACTCCGTCTCATTCGTTCGGTCAAAGACGATATGTACCAAATGCAAAGTATTTTGAATGCTCTTCGTTCTACAAAGCAAGCATTTCACGATTTTCTTCATAGTCAGAAGAAACAACAAGAGCTTTTACGACCTTGCTAAGATTTACAAATCTGACAGAAATTGGTTCTATCGCGAAAACTTACCGATTTCAATGACCCCAAATGAAGATGTGAAACAAATAGTTCAAGATCCGTTACCTCAAACACACTATGATATGAAAGGTTGTACAATACTTACCTTCAAAGAAGACTTACCGCTACTGAAAGAAAAAATAACAGAGTATTTTGACAACTTCAAACAAGTAGGGTAGATGAACTCTTTATTTTTCAAGCTTGACTTTTTACAATTTGAACTTTGTTTGCGTAGATATGAATTCTGAAAGAAGTATGGGGGTCTTGTATGACTTTATACTTCTCTCATAGTTCATGTCTGTCAAACTTACCTGCCATGGACTCTTTCATAAGTTCCATGAAATCGTCTTCGGACAATCCGGGGAAAAGTATTATGTCAGTAAGTATTCTTTTAACATCCTTACTTAAACTCTTTGCTGTCTGTACACAAATGACAACTGAGATGTTGAAGTGTCTGAGCTTCTTAAGAATTCGACACATATCTTGTTCTCTGTTCTTTAACAAAGGATGAGAGGCGAAATCATCTAGATAAGAAGACATCTATGAGGGTAAGTCTTCCAATCGTAAGATTGCAATTTCTTCGAAATGTATTCTATCTCTTTCTGTTTGTTTCTGAAGTGTTTCTTCTCTAATATTCTCTGCATTTCCTCATTTGGGTCTTTAAACTTAGAATTTATATACTCATTTATAGCATTATACTTCAAAACTCTTCTTTGGTACTTCTTTATCCAATCCAACAACTCAGAGTCTTTTATACATACTAACTTAGACTTCTTTATAATATCTTTGAACAAATTGACGGTTTGGTCAAATTGACCAGAAGTACTACAAATAACAACTAACTCATAGAATGGGTCTTTCTCATCTAGTTCTTGTTGTTGTGCACCATTTTAAGATAAGTGAAATCTACCAGACCCAGGTGGTGCAATTAGACCTGTTATACCATTCTGAGCAAATAAGAACTTGTCATGTATAGGCTTTATCTGAGCATTTTCTAACTTCCTCTTGTTCTTGTTTAAAACATTCTCAAATTTCTTGTCAATGTCAGCAAACTTTTTTTCTAACATATTTTTTAGAAAAATTAAAATTTTATCTTTTAGAAAATGTCTAGCGATTTCGCTATCTATATTCGAGACAAACTTTTTGACAGCAAAACATCTGTCGACCAGAAAATCTTACATATGTTAACATAGTGTAAACAAGAAAGGTGAATTTGTTCTAAAGTTCTGTTTCTGGAATATGACAAGAACCATAAAACATTACAAAGAGCAGTCTTAAAATTTGTCAATGACAGACTTGTTGACAGAGATGACGCCGATTGGAAAGATGAAGTCCAACAAAAGTTCTTAGAATGCAAAGAAGACACATGCGCTGTTCTTGAAGATGAAATAGAAAACAGAATAGATGAGCTGTTAAAGGACAAAGAACTTTTACATAGATATGGTTCTGAGAAATTTGACATATCTCCACCAGAGAAGAAGAAGAGAGAAAAGAAAGAAAAGAAAGTAGAAGAAGAGAAGAAAGAACCTGAACCAGTTCCAGAGAAAAAGAAATTTGACATGTAAAAATAAAATTTTATTTTTAGAACATTTCTGGGTCAATGTCAATGTTCTCTTCCTCTTTAGGAGTAAACACTGGCTTAGACTCTAAAATTTTTTACCCAATTTACCTTGAACTTCTACAACTTTAGACTCATAATATTCATAGTCGTCTGTCTTCTTTGGTTCATAAGTTATAACAAGTTTGTATGCTTTGCCTTCTTTAAGGTTTGAGAACCTTCTGTCAAAACTTTCTTTGACTGTTAACAAACCTTCTATGTCTAAGTCTTCAAATTTCGCACCATTTTTAGTCACATAGCAAACTTAATGGTTCGATGTTCCAAACTTTGCTGAATGAAGACTTTTCAAAATGGTAGAAGTAAACATTCAAATATGTGAATGGGTCTAGTTCTTCTTTAAGTCCTGACATGTACTTGTTTACTGAGATGAATTTCGTCATCTTTTCTATCGGATAAAAAAATATTTTTTTTAAAATTTACTCAGAAAAAATTTTCTTTGTATATACACCATTCTGAACATCTAAAAGACTTTTGACATTTGCCAAGAATGTTCGTTTAGACGCTGCCATATAACCATATTCTTGACAATATTGTTTATACGAATCGTACAATGACCTTTCATCTAATGACACAAAGTCAGTTTCATCTACGAACAGTTCATATACACTCTTGTTTGCTTCTAACAATGTTTGTCTCTCTTCTGTATGTGGAATTTGTCTTGGATTGAACTTAGAAATATCTAATGTCATGAAATATGAGAACAAGTGGTTGTAAAAGTCAGATGTCAAAGTTTCTGCTAAGTCGTCAAAATATTCTGTATCTTGCATATGAGCTTCTGACGTTCTGACAACTACATATTCTTCTGTCAGAACTTTCTAACTTCATCGGAACAGCATTGTTTGAAACCATAATGAAGTTTTGCAACATTTTCACAACTCTTTGGTCTTATACTTTCTTTCAACAACTCCAACTTTGTCTGTTATAAGATTCTTCAAAGCATCTGAGTTCAAAACTTTTGTTGTATCTATACTTTGAAGTTCATTGCAAACTATAAGTTTTCATATTCTCTATTGAGGAGTTAAACTTGCCACAGATGTTTTCTAAGTTTGTCATATTCGGATTCGAATAACCTTTCTAACAGTTTGCACAAAATATCTGTAAAGAAAGTATTCTTACCAGTTCCTTGTTTTCCAATTATAATGAGAGCAGTTTCATTTTTAGCACTTGGATGTTGTAAGATGTTTGCAAACCAACATAAGATATACTCATAAACCTTTTCGTTTCCATTGCATATAATTTCTGACATGGTCTAACCAAGCTTCTATAATATTTTCTTTCCATTCTACTTGTTCGTATTTATATCCAGTGAAGATAGAATAGAAATTTGGAGAAGGTGTATAGAACTTTATATACCTCGAACTGAAAAATCTTCTAACTTTGACAATAAGATATCCCAAGCATCTAACATCTTCATGCCAACTTGTACGACTTTTATTTTTCTTAAGTTTCTGTCTACATTCTTGTTCAGACACTATTGTTGCTCTTGGTTTGTTAAAGACAACATCCCATTCTTTCATGACATAACATTCTGGGCAGAGTCAACATAAATGACTAAACGTTTCAAATTCTAGACTGCTTTGTTATGTCTCTAAATGGACACATATTCTGAATGCTTGGAAGTCATAAAAATCTGAAACATCTATTCTGTACATTTTTATAAAAATAAAAAATAATATTTTTTTATTCTTGACTTTGTTGTTCCATTTGTTGCATTTGTTGTTCTTGAGCTATTTGTTGTTGAAGTTGTTCTTGTAATACAATACTTTCACCAGTTGCATCTTCCAATTCGAAACTTTCTGCCGTCATTGACAAATACATAGGACATAAAAGTTTTACAGGAACAAAGTTTGCGTCAACTAATGTCAACGTTATACTTGCCAAAGTGTTTGAGTTCACTAAGGTTGAAAATTCTGCATTCGAATGAACAATAGGCAAACCAGCAGAGAAAGTATTGTTTATACGCATAAGTATCTTTTGGTCATAATAGTTTCTGTCGACATTCGAATAACACTTTGAACCTAAGTTTGAAACAATATATAAGATTGGTGTGCTTAATGTCAATGGAATAGACATTCCTTGTATGACACCTTTTCCTGTTATAGGAAACTGTTGGTAGTAAAAACCAGAAATAAGTTATGTATTATAGCTCATATCGTTTATAGTAAACTCAGTCGGACATCCAAACATAATGAAACCTGCTCTAGTTGCAGCACATGTGACACCCGTACTTAAAGTATTAAATAAGTCAACAAACCTGTTGGTGGTATATCTGAGTAAGTATCTTCAAAGGAGTATTTTTTACCATTCACAACAATAAAGTCTTCTGGTGTCAAAAGAGCAAAACAGGCTTTAGTCGTCATTGTGTTTAAGGTTAGTTTACAATATCGTCCTTGAGGACTTTGTAAGTTTGTTGTTATAGAATTATATGACTCAGGGTTTTTAGTCGTAATAGTATAAACCATTATGTCTTCTGCCATTTACTTAGCAAATAAACTTTAATGAAATGTTGTGGTCGTCAAATATTTTTTATAACGTCTGGGAAACTATATTTTAAGTTCAACGTTTCACCTCCTTTCATAACGTATATCTTGTCAATGGCATTATATGAAACACCACAGCAACTAATGTCGGGTTCTATTTCTTTGATGTTTATATCGTCTGCCTCTGTCAAAAGTTTCAATAGTTCTTTCAAAACTTCATGAGGTGCAATGACATATGAGTTCACTTTTACAGGGTTGTGTTCGACCAAGTTTAACATTATACTTAAAGCTTGACAAATCTTCTCCTGAGTTTGAAGTTTGTCTTTCAGTTGTTGGTAGTCGTTTCGAATATCTGCAACAGAACTTAAGTCTCTGTTAACTTCAGGATATGTTGGTTCTTTTACAGAAACAATTGTTATACCATCTTCGTCTTCGTATGGTTTCCCCACTTCAACATCTCTGTCTTTAACATTGACGACAACACTTTGACTGTTTGTTTGAGTTGGTGAATTTAACTTCACATCTGCCACCGCCATTAAACCTTTTGAAACACTTACGTTTCTATTTTTCGGAAATGACATTTTACTTAGAATAAAAAGATGGACGTATTCGGATATCTTATTGAATTGAAGCAGAACAAAGTTTATACTCACAAACAATACAAATACATTGACAGAATAGTTCTTTACACAAACAATGGAAAATGTTATAGAATAGCAATATTTGCTGAACCAAAATATTTTCATAAAGCAAAGAAAGTTGGTATAACTGAAATGGTGAAAGTTCTTGAAGCAGACAAAAATATAACTTCAAAACTGACCGATATTACTAAAGGAAAGTTTATAATACAATATTATGTCAAAACTGGCGTACTGTCAATATTTGACGGAGAGAAGTCAGTTCAAGAACAACTTACTGACCTGCTGCCAAAATCTGCTCGATGGAAGCTGTCGTTATGCCAATCTGTGGAGCCCCAGCAGGTTTCATCGAACGAATCTTCAAAAGAGCATCTTCCGTGAAAAGTGCTATTGGTTTTGTAAACTTCTTTGCTCTCAATTCATCTGGACCGTCTCTGTCACCAGTATATTGTATTTGAACTGTACCAACAGTTGAAATACCACCCATAAAGTCTTCTGAGTCAGCAAATGGAATGCCAAGCCAAAAGTTTGAACGGTCTCCATTTGTATATTGAGTTTTTTGACCTCCTGTATGAGTCCATACTTTCACATATGGCATAATAGAACTTTGCATTTCAGGGTTAATGGTTGTTGTGAAGTTGTTGTTAAAGTTCATAGCATCTAATGTCAAGTTGTATAACCTCATATCCTCAACTGTAGAATATTCTTCTCTTGGATAATATTTGCCATCTATGTTTATATGATATTTAATACCAGGGTTGTAGAAACAAGAATAGTCATTTATAGTTCGTCTGAACAGTACAAACATAGTATCTGCATGTTTCATTGCAGTTGTTAAAGCAATATCTGTTCTTGCACCTTCGGCTCCTGGATTTTGGTTTCCAACTTCACCTGCAAAGTCTTTGACAGATATTTGGTGTATAGGGAACATAAGTGGAACTGCAATATATTTGGCAGCTAAAGCATTTGAAATATCTGGGTCCAACATATAGACTGCAAGTCTGCTTTCTATTCTCTTGCATTCAAATTTTTCGCATGTGAACTTAACTGGGTCCCAAGCATCTCCAGCAGCATTGAAATAATAGTTTACTTCAGTGTTGAGGTTTGAGAAACCAAAGTCTAAGTCAACTTTGTCTTTGCAAAATTCGGCGAATGACGTTTTATTTGTTCCCTTTACGTCTGTAAGAGTGAATGGGTCTTGTGTTGGTGCAATGACTAAGTTATTTTTGCTTGGAGTAAGTTCGATAGAAATTTTTCCTGCCCAGTTTGGCAAGTATCTTAAAAACCTGAAGATGAGGAAAGATGACAAAGGAACTCTAAGTTTCAGTTTTACTTTAGTGGCAGCAATTCCATCTGAACCAGAAAGGTTAACATAAACTCCTGGAACGTTAGGGTCAAGTCTTCTTATTTTCTCAATAGTTGCATACTGGTCTGTTTGTTCTCTAGCTTGTGGTTGTACTGAGTTTCTCAAAGCGAACCATTCATAGTTTGCCCATGTTACTGTTTGAACTAAGTCAGAGTTAGAATATATCTTATATCCCATGAAAACTTCTGGAGCATATTGGTATCCGACATAGAAAATTCCATTGCAACCTTTCTTGTCAGACAACTTGGCAGAAGGTTTTATTTCAATGTCTTGTTCCACGTATAAGAATGAGTTGTCAATAGAAATAATATGAAACCTGTCGCAAGCAATATCTACTGTTGTTGAAGAACCTTCTCCAAACTCACCTACGTTTCCATAAGAAACAGCAGTTGTATATTCGTAAGTTCCAGGAACTATTTCTGACCTTCTAATGGCATTGTCGCATTCGTTATACCATTCGGAAACATTTCCGTTCATGGCATCCAAAACTGTTGGCGTTATATTCTGAGCGGCGTACATTTCATATGGGTAAAAATATAGAATAGTTGGATTTATATATCATAATAGAACCCACTCAGACCAAGCTTTACTTTCTTCCTGACTGAGTTTTTAACTCTTCTTTTTCCTTCATTGCCACTACTTTCACTAGATGAAGTTACTTCTTCACTACTTTCACTTTGTTCTACTCTTCTCTTCTTCTTTGGTGTCGCTTTTGGTAACATGCCCTCTGCTTCAAGTTGTTGCATCTTTGCCTCATGTTCACCTAGTATGTTGTAAATTTCCCATGTCCTTTTTGCCTTTGGGCTCTGATCGCCCATCTCAGGTAACCTATATCCTAGAAAGATTTTGTCATAGTTTGTATTTGAGTCTTCGCGTATTGTTTGCATGACTCTTTCCTGAGTTTCCGGTTCAAGCTCTTCAAACAGAGCTTGTCCATATGGAATAAGCTCGTTTCCAAATATATGTTTTTGTAGCCATTCTGGTTTTCTTTCCATGTAACCAATAATATCTTTTGTGAATGGGAAAGCTTTTACCCAACGTTTCAGTCTTGCGTCATTTATTTCTGTAGTTGGTTTTATTTTGTCATGGAACATGTTTTTCAATACTAACATTTCATTTGGTACTGTCCATTTGAGTTTTCTTAAATATTCATCCCTTCTCGGTTCATTGTCTGCAAAGTAAGTTTTTATGACATTTTGCAAACTTTCGTTTGCAAGGTCATGTACAATAGGTTCTCTTCCTTCTCTCTCCCTAACTTTCTTTCTAAACTCTTCACCAAATATACCATCTCTATGGTTCTGTGTAGTTCTTTGAGATAAATGTTCTAGAACGTCAGGTGTTATATTTCCCTCAGCCATGTTCATTTCATACTGGTCCAAAATATCTGCATGTTTCATATCTTTCAATGGCATTAAAGCCGCGCTGAAAATACCAGCTATATCTGGTTCACCATTCACTTCCATTGCGTCTACAACTTCTTGGAATTGAGGTTGTAAGTTTATGAACCACCTATCCGGATTAGCTTTATGACCCCATCTCATTGTAGTTCCATAGTCTGCAGAAACAAAAGTAGGTTTGTTTCCATATTGGTTAGGTTCTGAATGAACTTTAAACAATGTTTCATTTCTATATGTTTTGTTGAAATTTAACCTTTTATTTTCACCGAGTTCAGCCAAAGATTGAACGTTATATGGTCGTAAGTAAAAAGGATTATTGTATTTGCGTACATTATCTTTCAGTACTTCCATTCTATGCTGAATATTTTCATCTGATGTTGGAGTCTTTTGTATGTCGGTGAACATTTTTCGATATTCTTCTACTATGTCAGCCGAATTTTTCTTAGACTCTTGGAAAGATTCCATATTCTCCGCATACACTTGTTGAGGGTCAAGATTTTTCGGCTGTTCCAAATCTTCATCTAGTTCTGTGAAGTTAGTTTCCAAAGGAGGGACTTGTTCGTTTCCTTCAGGCTCTTCTAGCTGTTGTTGCTGAACTATTTCTTCCATGTCTGGTTGTATCTGAACTTCTTCCTGTGGAGTTTCTTGTACCTCATCTGCTGGCATTTCATATATTCCGAGACCGTTTTTAACAAGTTCCCTATCTAAGTCATCCGGACTCATAAACCTTTCTTCTTTCGTTCCGTCTCTATTTTTTACGCGTTTCATGAAGAGAGTTGAATTATCATTTAGCTCTGACACCAAATATCTCGGAGTAAATTCATTCATGTCATTTGGATGATATGCTATTAAATCATATCCCTTAGCGAGCTTGTATTTTCCAGGTTTGAGATTATATCCGTTTTGGTGCTGAGCCATAAAGCTAAATAGGTTCGGGTCAGTATTTCCTTCCTTGAACTTTCTAATAGCTTCTTTATATCTGTCACTAAAGTCAAGAGTATCTGGGTAACCATAATCTTCCTTAAGCATTTTTAAGAATTCTTGGTTTCCTTTTTCTCTACTTCTTTTATGTCCTTGCTCTGTTTGTGGTTGTTGTTGTGCAGGGTTTTGAACTGTTGATTGCTGTGCTGGTTGTGGAGGTGGTTGTTGTGCTGGTTTTGGTTGTGGTGCTGGTTTTGAACTGTTGGTTGCTGTGCAGGGTTTTGAACTGTTGGTTGCTGTGCTGATTTTGAACTGTTGGTTTTGGTTGTTGTTGTGGTGCTGGATTTTGAACTGTTGGTTGTTGTGTTGGTTTTGGTGCATGCCTGTGTCTGTGTCCATGTGACGATGTAAATGTTTTAGGTAGTCCTGGTGCAGGTGCTTCTCTTGGAGGGTTTGGTGGTATATAAGTTCCACCAGCTGGCACATATGTTCCATCTGCAGCATAATGTCCTACCTGACTTTTCGTTTTTAAGAAAGCATTTACTAGGTCTGTTTTTGGTCTGTTGTAACTCTTTTTCTTGACTTTCCACAACAGTTGCTCTAACGGCGTCATAGGCACTTTGAACTGCCTGTCTCGTTGCTGCATCTGTTATTTTCGTCATATTTTGTGCTACTTCTTTTAACTCTTTGTCGAAACCTTCAGACTTCAGTTTCTTTCCAGATGAGAAGTCGTTCACTAGTTTCACCTTACTATGAAGAGCTTCGAAGGCGTTCTTAAAGTCAGCATTCATTAAAGCTTCATTTGAACTGTCTTCATCCGCTTGTATTTTTGTCCTTATTGACCCTATAAGTTGGGCTGCTTTAGCGTTGGCTTGGGCATCTAACCAGTCATTATTAGCTTTTATATATTCTGCGCTTTTCATTGCCTTTTGCATAGCCGCGTCGTTATTTTTACTTTCTTGTGCTAAGTTTTCATACTGTACGGTTTGGTTTTGCAACTGTAAAAGTTTTTCTGCCTTTACATTTGCTTCAACTTCTTTTTTATACTCATCGCTATCCATATATGTCTTCATGGCTTTTTGTTTTATCTCTTCATCTTTCAGTACTTTATATTGAGTAGTATGGTTTTTCAAATTTATAACATCTTGTTCCATTTTTGCTACTTCTGCTGCTTTTTCTGACACTTTTTTCGCATATTCCTCTGTACTTAGTTCTTTCAGTTGTTCTTCTTTCTTCTTTTTCTCTACGTTTAACTCATTGAGTTTCTTTGTGTGTCTGTCATATTCTAGTTTCTTTTCGTTTTCACTTATTTGTTTCTGTATGTCTATGTTTGACTTTTTGACATCTGTTATTTGATTTTTGAGTGAACTCAAATTCATTTGACTTTGAGGGTTATAAGCTGTTCCGTCTGCAGCTCCACCATAGCCTGCCATTTTCGCTAAAAGTGCCGCTCTTAAACCTCCACTCTGTGCACCAATAACTCGGTTTAAAAGCATAGGGTTGCTTGACATTTGTTGCAACATAGTGGGGTCATTCATCATTTGTTGTTGCAACTGTTGTTGTGGTGTCAGTTTTACTATTGGATGTTTCAATGCTCCCTTCCTCTTACGTATATTCTTACGTAGCTTACGTGGCATTTTAAGTGAAGTTAAAAAGCGGTTTTTGACAGATGTTTATATGACACTTTTTGTTCAGCTCAAAAAACTATCCGGTCAAAGTGTTGTCAGTTTTGTAAAATAACCGTCCTATCTCATTCTATAAGGGGGAAAAGGCTTCTCAAAGTATACTTCCTTGGAACGCCTGTAACTTTTCCTGTAGCGACGATAGACCCTTACTTGTCCGGACAAAGTTATACTATTTTGAGTGCTCTACAAAAAAGTCAACGGCTGGCTCGTCCTCAGAAATTTTTTATGGGCTAGAGGGCGCAACGCGCCTGGAAGCCCCACTACCTTTTTTTTGTTTCATTCAATCTCTGATGAATTCATCAACTTAAGTACGAGGTTAAGAATTTTCATTTATTGAACTGCATACGAATAATTCCTTCAAAGTCAATTTTGTAATTTCGAAAATAAAATTATCGGGATGTTGACAATTTTATTTCATCTATGAAAAAAAATTATTTTTAAGGATAAATCGATATGTCTATTGATTACAGCATTTTACATCTATTCAAATATTAAATCAATGAATTTTAATCAGCCATCTAAATGCAATAAAATCTAAAGAATCACATCTGACGTTTCACAGGTTTACATCACATAACTTTTGTCAATTTTTTTCTAATTTCAAATGTCTCTTATTGGCTCTGTTGATCAGGGAACTTCATCAACACGTTTTACAGTATATGCACCATCAGGTGAAGTTATCACAGGCCATCAAACTCCAGTTTCAAGAACTACTCCAAAGCCAGGATGGGTTGAACAAGATCCACTTGAAATCATTAACAGTGTTCGAGTCTGTCTTAATGCTGTAGCAACTAAACTCGAATCTATGGATCGATCACCAAAAGATGTTATTGCAATTGGCATTACAAATCAAAGAGAAACACTCGTTATTTGGGAGAAATTCACAGGAAGGCCGCTTTATAATGCAATTGTTTGGTGTGATGCAAGAAACGCTGATGTAGTTGATGAACTTGCCAAAAAATATGGCGGAACAAATGCATTTGCCGAAAAAACCGGTCTTCCACTTTCTACATACTTTACAGCCACTAAGCTTTTATGGCTTCGCAAGAATGTGCCAGAAGTTCAGAAGGCTCTCGATGAAAAAACTTGTTTAATCGGAACCATCGATACTTGGATTACTTGGTGCCTTACAGGTGGTCATACTCACGTTACCGATGTTACTAATGCATCAAGAACGATGCTCCTTGACATTCAGAAGCTTGAATGGGATAATGAAATGTTAAAAGTTTTCGGAATCCCACGGCAAGTTCTTCCAAAAGTTGTCTCTTCAGCCGAAGTTTATGGATGTGTTACTGACGAATACGGAGCTTTTGAAGGTTGCGCGATTTCCGGAATGTTAGGTGACCAACAAGCTTCATTAGTAGGAACAAAATGCATGCGAAAAGGAACAGCGAAAATTACATACGGAACTGGCTGCTTCTTGCTCTGTAATACAGGTGAAACTCCCGAATTCTCAAAAAGTGGCTTAATTACAACAGTTGGATACAAACTAGGCCGCAGATCACCAGTCTGCTACGCTCTAGAAGGCTCTGTCGCTACCTGCGGCATGGCTGTTCAATGGCTGAACGACATTTTAGGCAAATCAGAAACAATTTCAGAACTTGCCTCTTCTGTCGAAGACAGTGGTGGTGTATACTTTGTTCCAGCATTCTCAGGACTTCTTTGTCCGTACTGGAAGCCAGATGCTCGAGGTACATTTATGGGAATTACTGGTTACACACAACGCGGCCACTTTGCAAGGGCAGTACTTGAGGGCATTGCCTTCCAAGCATCAGATGTCCTTGCCTGCATCGATATCCCGCTCAACGAAGTTAGAGTTGACGGAGGATTGTCGAGATCTGACTTGTTACTCCAATTCCAGGCAGATCTGCTCAACATAGATGTACTCAGAGGTGCAAACGTAGAGGCTACATCGAAAGGAGCAGCAATTGCCGCTGCTTACGGAATCGGAATGGCCGGAGCAGGAATTATTACTGGAGACGAGGAATGCAAGACATTCTCTCCAATGGTGTCGGATAGAAAACGATCATTCAAGCTCAAAATGTGGAAGAAAGCTATCCAAAGATCTATGGATTGGCTTGAACAAGAGGAAGAAGATGAATCGGATTAAAAATTTATTTATTTTTTAGTGAAAATACAAACTATGTTTATTTGGATTACCCTATAATTTTATGAATATGGCACTTTTCGTCGATTTTCAAAGAATTAAATCGCTTCTATCTCAATAACTAATAAACATATAAGATTTTTGAAAGTATATATATAGTGTACTACATCTCAAGATATTATTAATATGTATTAGAAAGAATAATATATTGGATTTTGATATCACAAAATGACTTTTCAATTTATTGTAGTTCCTCACAGAGTTGAGATTCTACAAAATTCTTTGCAGATAATTTATGAAGGGATGATAGACTAACGAACTATTGATACATGAATTGAAAATAAAAAAATCGATTAAATATGAACCTTCATAAACCGTTTAAGAAACTTAAAAACTATTCTTTATTGTTTATTTTGGACGAAGTTTAATATGATTGTGGTTTTATTGGACAATAATCGAGTAACGGAAAAATATAACATTTATCTATAAAGTGAAAATTTAGAGGTATATTTCGTAAGATATTTCCTCTCTGATTACAAGAACTATTGTGAGCTATCAATCTAATGAAAGAGAGCAGATTTGGCCGTAATGAAAATGCAATACTTCGAAAATCAATGAAAAAAAGATTAATTTGTTAGAAACAATCGACTATGACACTGAATTCTAAGAGCAAACGTTTACATTAGGATACCCTACTTTCCCAACATTTAGAATAAGGTTATTGCCCTAAAATTCAGTTATAGACACTTAGGAGAGCATTTAAACCATGATATTTTGGCATATGATAGAGAAACATCTTATAAACATTTTCAGTATGTTTTCCTATAAAATAACGATCTCACATGAAATTACTAAAATATCAAATTTTGATTTTCACTTTAAAAAAAAAAAAAAAAAAAAAAAAAAGGTAGTGGGGCCTCCAGGCACTTCGTGCCCTCTAGCCCCGAAGATGTTTAGTATAAGTGAAGTTTAGAGGACATACATGACTATGAGTTTAGATATGAGAGATAGAATATGAGAGAGGTCCTATAAACCGGAGAAAGTGTCATATAAACATCTGTCATTTTACTCAGAATTTTATACAGAATTCAATAAAAATATATTTTAGGTGAAGAGGTGAGATCTCACCTGTTTTCTCACCTCTTTTCTCACCCATATGTCCTTACTGAAAAAGTATGTGTTCCATCTGTCAAAAGCCGCTTTTTAACTTCACTTAAAATGCCACGTAAGCTACGTAAGAATATACGTAAGAGGAAGAGAGCATTGAAACATCCAATAGTAAGACTAACACCACAACAACAGTTGCAACAACAAATGATGAATGACCCCACTATGTTGCAACAAATGTCAAGCAACCCTATGCTTTTAAACCGAGTTATTGGTGCACAGAGTGGAGGTTTAAGAGCGGCACTTTTAGCGAAAATGGCAGGCTATGGTGGAGCTGCAGACGGAACAGCTTATAACCCTCAAAGTCAAATGAATTTGAGTTCACTCAAAAATCAAATAACAGATGTCAAAAAGTCAAACATAGACATACAGAAACAAATAAGTGAAAACGAAAAGAAACTAGAATATGACAGACACACAAAGAAACTCAATGAGTTAAACGTAGAGAAAAAGAAGAAAGAAGAACAACTGAAAGAACTAAGTACAGAGGAATATGCGAAGAAAGTGTCAGAAAAAGCAGCAGAAGTAGCAAAAATGGAACAAGATGTCATAAATTTGAAAAACCATACTACTCAATATAAAGTACTGAAAGATGAAGAGATAAAACAAAAAGCCCTGAAGACATATATGGAAAGCGATGAGTATAAAAAGAAGTTGAAGCAAATGTAAAGGCAGAAAAACTTTTACAGTTGCAAAACCAAACCGTACAGTATGAAAACTTAGCACAAGAAAGTAAAAATAACGACGCGGCTATGCAAAAGGCAATGAAAAGCGCAGAATATATAAAAGCTAATAATGACTGGTTAGATGCCCAAGCCAACGCTAAAGCAGCCCAACTTATAGGGTCAATAAGGACAAAAATACAAGCGGATGAAGACAGTTCAAATGAAGCTTTAATGAATGCTGACTTTAAGAATGCCTTCGAAGCTCTTCATAGTAAGGTGAAACTAGTGAACGACTTCTCATCTGGAAAGAAACTGAAGTCTGAAGGTTTCGACAAAGAGTTAAGAGAAGTAGCACAAAATATGACGAAAATAACAGATGCAGCAACGAGACAGGCAGTTCAAAGTGCCTATGACGCCGTTAGAGCAACTGTTGTGGAAAGTCAAGAAAAAGAGTTACAACAGACCAAAACAGACCTAGTAAATGCTTTCTTAAGAACGAAAAGTCAGGTAGGACATTACGCTGCAGATGGAACATATGTGCCAGCTGGTGGAACTTATATACCAGCTGGTGGAACTTATATACTAGCTAGTGGAACTTATATACCACCAAACCCTCCAAGAGAAGCACCTGCACCAGGACTACCTAGAACATTTACATGGTCACATGGACACAGACACAGGCATGCACCAAAACCAACACAACAACCAACAGTTCAAAACCCTGCACAACAACAACAACAACATCCAGCACAACAACCAACAGTTCAAAACCCTGCACAACAACAACCACAAACAGAGCAAGGACATAAAAGAAGTAGAGAACAAGGAAACCAAGAATTCTTAAAAATGCTTAAAGAAGAGTGTGGTTTCCCAGATACTGTTGACTTTAGTGACAGATATAAAGAAGCTATTAGAAAGTTCAAGGATGGAAATACTGACCCGAACCTATTTAGCTTTATGGCTCAGCACCAAAACGGATATAATCTCAAACCTGGAAAATACAAGCTCGCTAAGAGATATGATTTAATAGCATATCATCCAAATGACATGAACGAATTTACTCCGAGATATTTGATGTCAGAGCTAAATGACAATTCAACTTTCGTCATGAAACGCGTAAAAAATAGAGACGGAACGAAAGAACAAAGGCTTATGAATGCGAATGACGTAGATAGGGAAATTGTTGAAAACGGTCTCGGAATATATGAAATGCCAGCAGATGAGGTACAAGAAACTCCACAGGAAGAAGTTCAGATACAACCAGACATGGAAGAAATAGTTCAGCAACAACAGCTAGAAGAGCCTGAAGGAAACGAACAAGTCCCTCCTTTGGAAACTAACCTCACAGAACTAGATGAAGATTTGGAACAGCCGAAAAATCTTGACCCTCAACAAGAGTATGAGGTGAATATGGAATCTTTCCAAGAGTCTAAAAAAAATTCGGCTGACACAGTAGAAGAATATCGAAAAATTTTCACCGACATACAAAAGACTCCAACACCAGATGAAAATATTCAGCAAAGAATGGAAGAACTGAAAGAAAATGTACACAAATACAACAACCCTTTTTACTTACGAGCATTTAACGTTCAATCTTTGGATGAACTCGGTGAAAATAAAAGGTTAAATTTCAAGAAAACATATAAAAATGAAACATTGTTTAAAGTTCATTCAGAACCTAGCCAAGATGGAAACAGACCTACTTTTGTTTCTGCAGACTATGGAACTACAATGAGATGGGGTCATAAAGCTAATCCGGATAGGTGGTTCATAAACTTACAACCACAATTCCAAGAAGTTGTAAACGCAATGGAAGTGAATGGTGAACGAGATATAGCTGGTATTTTAAGCGCGGCTTTAATGCCATTGAAAGATATGAAACATGCAGATATTTTGAACCAGTATGAAATGAACATGGCTGATGGAAATATAACACCTGACGTTCTAGAACATTTATCTCAAAGAACTACACAGAACCATAAAGATGGTATATTTGGTGAAGAGTTTAGAAAGAGATTTAGGGACAGAGAAGGAAGAGAACCTATTGTACATGACCTTGCAAACGAAAGTTTACAAAATGTCATAAAAACTTACTTTGCAGGCGATGAATCGAGAAGGGATGAATATTTAAGAAAACTCAAATGGACAGTACCAAATGAAATGTTAGTATTGAAAAACATGTTCCTTGACAAAATAAAACCAACTACGGAAATAAATGACGAAAGACTGAAAGATTGGGTAGAAGCTTTCCCATTCACAAAAGATATTGTTGGTAACATGGAAAGAAAACCAGAATGGCTACAAAAACATATATTTGGAAACGAGCATATTCCATATGGACAGGCACTGTTTGAAGAGCTTGAACCGGAAACTCAGGAAAGAGTCATGCAAACAATACGCGAAGACTCAAATACAAACTATGACAAAACTCTTCTAGGATATAGGTTACCTGAGATGGGCGACCAGAGCCCAAAGGCAAAAAGGACACGGGAAATTTACAACATACTAGGTGAACATGAGGCAAAGATGCAACAACTTGAAGCAGAGGGCAAGTTACCAAAGCGACACCAAAGAAGAAGAGTTGTAGAAAGTAGTGAAGAAGTAACTTCATCTAGTGAAAGTAGTGGCAATGAAGGAAAAAGAAGAGTTAAACACTCAGTCAGGAAGAAAGTTCATCGTCAATGAGTGTAAATGACCCAAAAATATATTTTAGGTGAAGAGGTGAGATCTCACCTGTTTTCTCACCTGTTTTCTCACCTGTTTTTTCACCTCTCAACAAAACATATACGATGAAGTTTGACAAAACATTGACGAAGAAATCTCAACAAAACATTGAAGATGAAGTCTCAACAAAACATTGACGAAGAAATTCATGAAAATTCAACGGGTGAGAAAAGAGGTGAGAAAACAGGTGAGATCTCACCTCTTCACCTAAAATATATTTTTGGGTCATTTACACTCATTGACGAAGAAGTCTCAACAAAACATTGACGATGAAGTCTCAACAAAGTCTTTACGATGAAGGAAGAAGAAGAGTTAAAAACTCAGTCAGGAAGAAAGTAAAGCTTGGTCCGAGTGGGTTCTATTATGACATATAAATCCAACTATTCTATATTTTTACCCATATGAAATGTACGCCGCTCAGAATATAACGCAACAGTTTTGGATGCCATGAATGGAAATGTTTCCGAATGGTATAACGAATGCGACAATGCCATTAGAAGGTCAGAAATAGTTCCTGGAACTTACGAATATACAACTGCTGTTTCTTATGGAAACGTAGGTGAGTTTGGAGAAGGTTCTTCAACAACAGTAGATATTGCTTGCGACAGGTTTCATATTATTTCTATTGACAACTCTTTCTTATACGTGGAACAAGACATTGAAATAAAAACCATCTGCCAAGTTGTCTGACAAGAAAGGTTGCAATGGAAATTTTTCTATGTCGGATACCAATATGCTCCAGAAGTTTTCATGGGATATAAGATATATTCTAACTCTGACTTAGTTCAAACAGTAACATGGGCAAACTATGAATGGTTCGCTTTGAGAAACTCAGTACAACCACAAGCTAGAGAACAAACAGACCAGTATGCAACTATTGAGAAAATAAGAAGACTTGACCCTAACGTTCCAGGAGTTTATGTTAACCTTTCTGGTTCAGATGGAATTGCTGTCACTAAAGTAAAATTGAAACTTAGAGTTCCTTTGTCATCTTTCCTCATCTTCAGGTTTTAAGATACTTGCCAAACTGGGCAGGAAAAATTTCTATCGAACTCACCCCAAGCAAAAATAACTTAGTCATTGCACCAACACAAGACCCATTCAGCATTGCTGTAGCTGGAACTAGTGGAGCCAAGTTCTGTGACTTTTGCAAAGACAAAGTTGACTTAGACTTTGGTTTCTCAAACCTCAACACTGAAGTAAACTATTATTTCAATGCTGCTGGAACTGCTTGGGACCCAGTTAAGTTCACATGCGAAAAGTTTGAATGCAAGAGAATAGAAAGCAGACTTGCAGTCTATATGTTGGACCCAGATATTTCAAATGCTTTAGCTGCCAAATATATTGCAGTTCCACTTATGTTCCCTATACACCAAATATCTGTCAAAGACTTTGCAGGTGAAGTTGGAAACCAAAGTGCTGACCCAGGTGCAAGAACAGATATTGCCTTAACAACTGCAATGAAACATGCAGATACTATGTTTGTACTGTTCAGACGAACTATAAATGACTATTCTTGTTTCTACAACCCTGGTATTAAATATCATATAAACATAGATGGCAAATATTATCCAAGAGAAGAATATTCTACAGTTGAGGATATGAGGTCATACAACTTGACATTAGATGCTATGAACTTTAACAACAACTTCACAACAACCATTAACCCTGAAATGCAAAGTTCTATTATGCCATATGTGAAAGTATGGACTCATACAGGAGGTCAAAAAACTCAATATACAAATGGAGACCGTTCAAACTTTTGGCTTGGCATTCCATTTGCTGACTCAGAAGACTTTATGGGTGGTATTTCAACTGTTGGTACAGTTCAAATACAATATACTGGTGACAGAGACGGTCCAGATGAATTGAAAGCAAAGAAGTTTACAAAACCAATAGCACTTTTCACGGAAGATGCTCTTTTGAAGATTCGTTCGATGAAACCTGCTGGGGCTCCTCAGATTGGCATAACGACAGCTTCCATCGAGCAGATTTTGGCAGCAGGTCAGTAAGTTGTTCTTGAACTGACTTCTCTCCGTCAAATATTGACAGTACGCCAGTTTTGACATAGTATTGTATTATAAACTTACCTTTAGAAATATCGGTCAGTTTTGTTGTTATATTTTTGTCAACGTCAAGAACTTTCACCATTTCAGTTATACCAACTTTCTTTGCTTTATGAAAATATTTTGGTTCAGCAAAGACTGCTATTCTATAACATTTTCCATTGTTTGTGTAAAGAACTATTCTGTCAATGAACTTGTATTGTTTGTGTGTGTAAACTTTGTTCTGCTTCAATTCGAAGAGATACTCAAATACGTCCATCTTTTTATTCTAAGTAAAATGTCATTTCCGAAAAATAGAAGCGTAAGTGTTTCAAAAGGTTTAATGGCGGTGGCAGATGTGAAGTTAAATTCACCAACTCAAACAAACAGTCAAAGTGTTATTGTCAATGTCAAAGAAAGAGATGTTGAAGTGGGGAAACCATACGAAGACGAAGATGGTATAACAATAGTTCCTGTAAAAGAACAACCAACATATCCTGAAGTTAGCAGAGACTTAAGTTCTGTTGCAGATATTCGAAACGACTACCAACAACTTAAAGACAAACTTAAAACTCAGGAGAAGATTTGTCAAGCTTTAGGTATAATGTTAAACTTGGTCGAACACAACCCTGTAAAAGTGAACTCATATGTCATCGCACCTCGTGAAGTTTTGAAAGAACTATTGAAACTTTTGACAGAGGCAGACGATATAAACATCAAAGAAATAGAACCCGACATTGCTTGCTGTGGTGTTTCATATAATGTCATTGACAAGATATACGTTATGAAAGGAGGTGAAACGTTGAACTTAAAATATAGTTTCCCAGACGTCATAAAAATATTTGACGACCACAACATTTCATTAAAATTTACTTGCTAAGTAAAAATGGCAGAAGACATAGTGGTTTATACTATTACGACTAAAAACCCTGAGTCATATAATTCTATAACAACAAACTTACAAAGTCCTCAAGGACGATATTTGTAAACTGACCTTAAACACGATGACGACTAAAGCCTGTTTTGCTCTTTTGACACCAGAAGACTTTTGTTGTTGTGAATGGTAAAAAATACTTCTTTGAAGATACTTACTCAGATATACCACCAACAGGTTTTGTTGACTTATTTAATACTTTAAGGACGGATGTAACATGTGCTGCAACTAGAGCAGGTTTCATTATGTTTGGATGTCCGACTGAGTTTAGTATAAACGATATGAGCTATAATACAAAACTTATATCTGGTTTTTACTACCAACAGTTTCCTATAACAGGAAAAGGTGTCATACAAGGTCTATCTATTCCATTGACTTTAAGCACACCTATTTTATATATTGTTTCAAACTTAGGTTCAAAGTGCTATTCGAATGTCGACAGAAACTACTATGACCAAAAGATACTCATGCGTATAAACAAACACATTCTCTGCTGGTTTGCCTATTGTTCATTCGAATGCAGAGTTTTCAGCTTTAGTAAACTCAAACACTTTAGCAAACATAAACTTAACCTTAGTTGACGCAAACTTTGTTCCTGTAAAACTTTTATGTCCTATGTATTTGTCAATGACGGCAGAAAGTTTCGAATTGGAAGATGCAACTGGTGAAAGTATTGTACTACAAGAACAACTTCAACAACAAATAGCTCAAGAACAACAAATGCAACAACAAAGTCAAGAATAAAAAAATATTTTTTTTATTTTTATAAAAATGTACAGAATAGATGTTTCAGATTTTTATGACTTCCAAGCCTTCAGAAATATGTGTCCATTTAGAGACTATAACAAAGCAGTCGAGAATTTGAAACGTTTAGTCATTTATGTTGACTCTGCCCCAGAATGTTATGTCATGAAAGAATGGGATGTAGTCTTTAACAAACCAAGAGCAACCATAGTTTCAGAACAAGAATGTAAACAGAAACTTAAGAAAGTAAAAGTCGTACAAGTTGGTATGAAGATGTTAGATGCTTGGGATATCTTATTGTCAAAGTTAGAAGATTTTTCAGTTCGTGGTATAAAGTTCTATACACCATCTCCAAACTTCTATTCTATCTTCACTGGATATAAATACGAACAAGTAGAATGGAAAGAAAATGTTATAGAAGCTTGGTTAGACCATGTCAAAGAAATTATATGCAATGGAAACGAAAGAGTCTATGAGTATATCTTATGTTGGTTTGCAAACATCTTACAACATCCAAGTGCTAAAAATGAAACTGCTCTCATTATAATTGGAAAACAAGGAACAGGTAAGAACACTTTCTTTACAGATATTTTGTGCAAACTGTTAGAGGGCTATTCGAACCCGAATATGACAAACTTAGAAAACATCTGCGGCAAGTTTAACTCTTCAATAGAGAATATGAAACTTATAGTATGTAACGAACTTCAAAGTATAGATACAACAAAAGTTTTGAACTCAGATGCTTTGAAGAGTCTTATAACAGACAAAGTTGGAGTTGTTGAAAGAAAATATAAAGACCAAAGAGTTTGTGAAAATGTTGCAAATTTCATCATGGTTTCAAACAATGCCGTTCCGATGAAGTTAGAAAGTTCTGACAGAAGATATGTAGTTGTCAGAACGTCAGAAGCTCATATGCAAGATACAGAATATTTTGACGACTTAGCAGAAACTTTGACATCTGACTTTTACAACCACTTGTTCTCATATTTCATGACATTAGATATTTCAAAGTTCAATCCAAGACAAATTCCACATACCGAAGAGAGACAAACATTGTTAGAAGCAAACAAGAGTGTATATGAACTGTTCATAGATGAAACTGACTTTGAGTGTTTAGATGAAAGGTCATTGTACGATGAATATAAACAATATTGTCAAGAGTATGGTTATATGACAGCGTCTAAACGAACATTCTTGGCAAATGTCAAAAGTCTTTTAGACGTACAGAATGGTGTATATACAAAGAAAAATTTTTCTGAGTAAATTTTAAAAAAAAATATTTTTTTATCCGATAGAAAAGATGACGAAATTCATCTCAGTAAACAAGTACATGTCAGGACTTAAAGAAGAACTAGACCCATTCACATATTTGAATGTTTACTTCTACCATTTTGAAAAGTCTACATTTGACAAAGTTTGGAACATCGAACCAGTTAAGTTTGCTATTGTGACTAAAAATGGTGCGAAATTTGAAGACTTAGACATAGAAGGTTTGTTAACAGTCAAAGAAAGTTTTGACAGAAGGTTCTCAAACCTTAAAGAAGGCAAAGCATACAAACTTGTTATACCTTATGAACCAAAGAAAGCAGACGACTATGAATATTATGAGTCTAAGATAGTTGAAGTTCAAGGTAAATTGGGTAAAAAGATTTTAGAGTCTAAGCCGGTGTTTGCTCCTAAAGAGGAAGAGAACATTGACATTGACCCAGAAATGTTCTAAAAATAAAATTTTATTTTTACATGTCATATCTCACCTTCTCTGGAACTGGTTCTTTCTTCTCTTCTTCTACTTTCTTTTCTTTTTTCCTTCTTCTTCTTTTCTGGTGAGTTATGTCAAACTTCTCAGAACCATATTTTTGTAAAAGTGCTTTGTCATTTAATAGCTCTTCTATTCTGTTTTCTATTTCATCTTCAAGAACAGCGCATGTGTCTTCTTTTGCATTCTAAGAACTTTTGTTGGACTTCATCTTTCCAAGAGGCGTCATCTCTGTCAACAAGTCTGTCATTGACAAATTTTAAGACTGCTCTGCTTAATGTTTTATGGTTCTTGTCATATTCCCAGAAACAGAACTTTAGAACAAATTCCCCTTTCTTGTTTACACTATGTAAGATTTTATGGTCGACAGATGTTTTGCTGTCGAAAAGCTTGTCTCGAATATAAATAGCGAAATCGCTAGACATTTTCTAAAAGATAAAAATTTTAATTTTTCTAAAAATATGTTAAAAAAAGTTTGCTGACATTGACAAGAAATTTGAGAATGTTTTAAACAAGAACAAGAGGAAGTTAGAAAATGCTCAGATAAAACCCATACATGACAAGTTCTTATTTGCTCAGAATGGTATAACAGGTCTAATTGCACCGCCTGGGTCGGGTAAGACTTTCACTTATCTTAAAATGCACAACAACAAGAACTAGATGAGAAGAACCCATTCTATGAGTTAGTTGTCATTTGTAGTACTTCTGGTCAATTTGACCAAACCGTCAATTCGTTCAAAGATATTATAAAAAAGTCTAAGTTAGTATGTATAAAAGACTCTGAGTTGTTGGATTGGATAAAGAAGTACCAAAGAAGAGTTTTGAAGTACAATGCTATAAATGAGTATATAAACTCGAAGTTTAAAGACCCAAATGAGGAAATGCAGAAATATTAGAGAAGAAACACTTCAGAAACAAACAGAAAGAGATAGAATACATTTCGAAGAAATTGCAATCTTACGATTGGAAGACTTACCCTCACAGATGTCTTCTTATCTTAGATGACTTTGCTTCTCATCCTTTGTTAAAGAATAGAGAACAAGACATGTGTCGAATTCTTAAGAAGCTCAGACACTTTAACATCTCAGTTGTCATTTGTGTACAGACAGCCAAGAGTTTAAGTAAGGATGTAAGAGAATACTTACTGATATTATACTTTTCCCCGGATTGTCCGAAGACGATTTCATGGAACTTATGAAAGAGTCCATGGCAGGTAAGTTTGACAGACATGAACTATGGGAGAAGTACAAAGTCATACAAGACCCTCATACTTCTTTCAGAATTCATATCTACGCAAACAAAGTTCAAATTGTAAAAAGTCAAGCGTAAAAATGTAAGTGTTTGAGTCTTAGTCTGTTGTGTGCTGGGGCTGTCGTTCTTCTGGCTTTGGAAGACATTCAGGAAGAGGAACGTCAGCCATCCGTTTGTGTCCTGTCGGAAGGAAGGACTTTTCCTGTCGGAAGGAAGGACTTTTCCTGTCGGAAAGAAAAATTTTTCCTGTCGGAAGGAAAAACTTTTCCTGTCGGAAGGAAAAACTTTTTCTGAAGGTCGGCCAAAAAGTTCTCAATTTTCGAAAATTTGAATGGTTTACGGACGGACAACTGGAAAAATTTTTCCTGTAGGAAGGAAAATTTTTTCCTGTAGGAAGGAAAATTTTTTCCTGTAGGAAGGAAAAGTTTTTCCTGTTGGAAGGAAATTTTTTTCCTGTTGGAAGGAAGGACTCGGAATGCCAGAAGGACTCGGACAAGACAATTTACCTTATAGAGCTACCTGAGCCATCTTTGGTGTCAAGCTTGAAAAATAAATGGTTCATCTACTCTGCTTGTTTGAAGTTGTCAAAATACTCTGTTATCTTTTCCTTTAACAATGGCAAATCTTCTTTGAATGTAAGAATTGTACAACCTTTCATATCATAGTGTGTTTGAGGTAACGTATCTTGAACTATCTTTTTAACATCTTCATTCGGTGTCATTGAAATCGGTAAGTTTTCGCGATAGAACCAATTTCTGTCAGATTTGTAAATCTTAGCTAAGTCGTAAAAGCTTTTGTTGTTTCTTCTGACTAAATGCAACATAACCATATCTCTGTCTTCTTCATTTTCCATCTCTTCAGTGTAAATCATATACTTATAGTTCTTTTCCTTTCCTTTTGGTACCGAACGTGGTATTCTTTTCTGTATGTTTTTGTCTTTTGCTTCAAGCTTGTTCTCTAGCTCTTCACGTTCTTGTCTATGAATTTCATCTAACATCATGAAAATATAACAAGCATAGCGAGGTGAAGCCCACATTGCAACAGCATTTACAAGAAGTCTATGTACATACCAACCTCTCAAACCATTTGGCAAATTTTTACGATTTTCGTACGGAATCTCGACCTCGGTTTTCCGAGGGTCGCAAACATATGAGGAAATTCTTCTAAAAGTTCTTGTGCCTGTTGGTTTTCAAACCAATGGTATGCTTGCTTTGTAGAACGAAGAGTATTCAAAATACTTTGCATTTGGTACATGTCATCTTTGACCGAACGAATGAGACGGAGTTGTTTGTTATACTGTATGTACTCGTATTCTTCATTTATATCTTCATGAACGATAGCAGTTGTTGTGTTCTCTGATGTTGACATTACTGTCTTTACATACAAAATAAAAAAATAAAAAAAAATAAAATTAGCGTTATTTTCTATCTTGTATAAAAGACCAAAAATAAACGCTTTACATGTATTTTTCAGCAACTTCGTCAAATAATTTTATAGCTTTGTCGATCTCATCTACTTCAAACGTTTCTTTACCTTTCGTGGGAGCACCATACATTTCTCAAACTTTTCAAGTAGTTCTGTTTCAGCAGCTCTCATATCGTTAACAAACGCAACCTTGACTCTATTGACTATACTGTCATATCTTTGAGTTATATTAAATGTTCTTCCTATCTTATATCTCTTTGTATTGAAGTCCTTCGGTTTCTGAACGATGTAAAGTAAGCCTTCACTGCAACGTTCAGTATCGAACGAACCATATGTTATGAAATTATATCCAACAACTGGTCTAACCAGAACAAAACTACTGGTAAAGACTTTTGTCTATAAGATATGCTCTTTTCCATAGAATCTTACCGATATCATAAGCTCAGATTTTTTGTCAAAATTTTCTGAGTAGAAGCATTTCTAACCCAGTCGTGGGATGTTTTCTTTTCAGATAGTGTTAAAATGTCTGACAAGAATATTTTTTGTATTTCTTTGAGTATCTTACGTTTAAATCACCTATTCTAACCACCTTGGTCTCATTGTCTATCTTTTTAACTGTTTCAAACTCAATGTTTAACATTTGCTGTCTTTACATACAAAATAAAAAAAAATATTTTAAAAAAACTAACGTTAATTTTATTTTTTCTATCTTGTATAAAAGATATGATTTCATAGAGTTTTTTCACGATTTTCATAGAGTTTTGGCGACTGGGGTTTTTCTCCCACTCGCTGTTCTTCACGATTTTCATGAGTTTTTTCACTGTTTTCATGAGTTTTAGGCGACCCCTGTAAAAATCGGGGTCACATTTTTTCACGATTTTCATGAGTTTTTTTCACGATTTTCGTACGGAATCTCGTTCCTCGGTTTTCCGCGGGACGCATTTTTTTACTGTTTTCATAGAGTTTTTTCACTGTTTTCATGAGTTTTATGCAAGGCCGGAAAAAGTCGGGGTAGCATTTTTTCCACGATTTTCATAGAATTTTTTTACGATTTTCGTACGGAATCTCGACCCGCAGTTTTCTACCGGTCGCAAACATATGAGGAAATTCATGAAATTTGGTCATTTTACTCAGAATTCAATAAAATATATTTTAGGCGACCAGGTCACTCGGTCACTCGGTCACTCGGTTAAATGAACTTCTCTGAAAAAGTGTGACAACATGACATTTTGACAACAACACAGGAAATATACTTCATCGTATATGTTTTTTCACGATTTCTTCGTCAATGAGCGTAAATCAGACAAAAATGAGTTTTGGTTTAAAATACGGTGGAGCCAAAAATGGCTCGACCTCAAAACAAGCATTTTGTGAAGAATATACCAACCCGCGGAATTCCGCGGGTTGCTTTTTATACAAAGTTCAAGAGTTTTGTGTGTTTTCTACGAGGGTAGAAATGAGGGTAGAAATGAGGGTAGATCTAGCCATCTACCCTAAAATATATTTTTGTCGAATTCAATAAAAAAAATGGTTCATTTACTCACAATATTTTTGTACAAAACAACCCCAAGCTTTTAACTTCTCTTCTGCAGCTTCTAATGCTATCTTAGCGAGTTCATATTCTCTAAATTCTCTCTTTAAATCTTCTTGTTCCCATTGGTCTAGTTCGTATGGAGAATCTCTATAACCATAACATATCTCACGTTCATGTTCTATTTGTTTTTCATGCATTTTTCTAACTTCTTCTTCGAACAAAGGTTTTGCATTCTCTACTGTATCTTCAAGTTCTTCTTCATCTAATTTCTCATGAACTTTCTTGTCTATGGAGTCC